AGCTTCAAGTAAGGAAATGTCCTTTTCCCATAGTCTAGTTTCTGGCAAATGTCCAGCAGGCTCTTGCTAGAACTTCCGGGCACCAGCCTGGAAAGGTACAGTCCTGAGAAAAGTGGCCTCTGCACACATGTCATTTTTTATAAAAGGAGAGATGATAGGAAGGGGTCTGGAGTGGATCATAGAAATTCACCTGATAATGAATGCTGAGTGTTAGAATTCAAAATGCCAGGAGTTTTAAAGATGTGGAGGTGATAATTTCAACTCAGTTTTGAAAATGTTACAAAAAACTAATTTAAAAAATTAAAAAGGGTTAATGGAGAAGAAAACTTAAATGAAAAGATCATCTAAATTGTTGAGCACCCTCCCCCTGCACCTTCTCTTTGTTCCTGATAAACTCTGATCACATCTTCCTCTTCTACTCCCAGTTCTTTGGGACTGTGATCATCAGTGGATTTTGTCTTTCTCAGAGGAGACTGGGTGGGGGGCTGGACCTCTGCATCTTTGACTGTATGAGTCCAAGTTTCTGGAGGTGTGTGTCATTTCCACCTTGACTTGAATCTCGCTGCTGCCTTGTCCTCTGGGTTTTAAGTGTTCTTTTTTCTAATCCTCAAGTCTCGGTTGACGGTTTTGCTTGCTGCGTGAGCATGGCCTTGGAGGCCAGAGTCTCTAGCAGTGACCTCAGTAGCAGGCTCTTTTTCTCGGTGCACCAGTAAGCCCCTCCTCACTGCATAATCATGGCTGTGCCTTTCCCCTCAGTTTCCTTTCCTTCAGATCCTTCTCAAATGCTTCTAAAGTGGTGCTTACAAACTTCAGTGTGGTCCCCAGTCAGCTGAGGATCCTGGGCCTTGCTGGGTGAGCCTCAGGCCCCCGTCTGCAGGCCGGACTCGGGGTCATGAAGCCTCGGGTCTCATGAGGTGGGCTTAGCTGAACCAGGGGACCTTCTAAAGCCTAGACACCCAAGGAGTCCCCAGAGGTTGCTGCTCTTCCTGGCAGTGCTGAGTTACTTCCAGCAGTAAGCAGGCACCTTGGGCCCTTTGTGGTCAGTCCAGTGGCAACTCACTGCACCTGCGCTGTAGGGGCGTCCTGCTGGCACCCCTTCTAGGCGAGCCCCTCTGGAGCCGCCGGAGCTGATACCTCTCACAGCTCTGGGGTAAGCCAGTATCCCAGGGCCCTCGTTGTTGGTTACATTCAGAGCCAACTGTCGGTCGCTGAGGCAGAGCTCACAGCACTGACCCCTCTCTCCTCCTCCCCTCATCCCATGGGGAAGAGGGAGGTGACGCCTGCCCAGGACCCAGCCCACCTGTACCCACCTCAGCAGCACCCTCCTCCTCTGCTGACCATCAGGAGGAGTCCCAGCTGCGGTCTGGAGTGTCCCAGGCCACCATGCTGAGGCGCCCACAGAGGACCCACCCTCCCACATAGCACCACGGGGACTGGGGCCCACAGAATGTTCTGGTGGGCTCTCTCACAGGTGAGCTCCTTACTAGATAAGATTTGGGCACTTCACATTCATAGCAGAGCAACGTCTGATGCAGGTGAGAGAGTTAGTGTGAGAAAAGCACGTCCTTTGGGTAAGAAGAATCCCCTGATTCCATCAGTTAAAGATCCCTGGGTTCGAGTTCTGGGTCTTCCATGAGGCCCGAGGAATCGGAACAAACCACTAACCCTCCACACTTCGATTCGGGGACCTGCAGAATGGAGGCAGTTTACACATTTGTGAAAATACAGGGTAGGCGGGAAGGTTTTAGGGAAGAGGGACAGTTGTGATATTGGTCAGTAGAGTCCATTTGCCAGGCAAGTTGCTATCTTCTGAGAACTGCAGAAAGAAGGCAGCCCAGAGTGCTGGTTCTGTCTCATGGCTCCTAAGAGAGGGCTACTGCCTCCTCCCTCCTCCCTTCGCTGTGGGGCTGTGGTCTCCTGTTTGTTTCATACCTGGCCATAGGTCTTCTTTCTCAGGTTAGACCCGAGCAGACACAGGAGTCTGGAGCTAGCTCAGTGGCCTTTCAGAGACTGTCCTTTTCGAAGAAAACCGTGGTAGCTATAGACAAGCTGGGGTCAGGTCACAGCTGGAGGCAACAGGAAGTTTTGTGTTTATTTCCAGTTTAAAGCGTAATTTTAAAAAGCCTCAGCAGTATGACACCATATGGAGGTAGGTTTAGTTGCTCAGTCATGTCTGACTCTTGGCAACCCCGTGGACTTGTAGCCTGCCAGGCTCCTCTGTCTGTGGAATTCTCCAGGCAAAAATACTGGAGTGGGTTGCCACCTCCTTCTCTAGATGACACCATATAGCAGTTTCGAAAAACATCTGAAATTTTCTTCTAATTTGATCTCCCACATTGAATTGCCCATTTCTGTCTGGCATATATCCTTCTGCTGTTATTTAGATGCACGTGTATCCAGCATCACCTTCACAGAATACAGTTCTGTGTCTTGCTTCTCTTTCTCATTATTTCCCTGTAACAGTTTTCATCAAGGTCATTTTTAAGGTTTCATAATCTTCCATCCAGAGGATGTGTCACAATCTAATGAGCCATTTTCTGGACATTTGGCCTGCTTAGAGGTTTTCCACAAGTATAAGTGATGCTGCAGTGAGGTTCTTCTTGCACATAAATCTTTTTATTTCTTTTGGATTATTTCTGTTGGATAAATTCCCAGAGGAGCCATTAATGGGTCAGAGGCTTGGAATATTCTTATGACTCTCAAAACATATAGCAACTGCTATCTTAGGAAGAGCAGGGTGGGGCTCTGCCTCTCTGCTGGGGAGACCAAGCCATATCTCTCTGCTCTGGGCCCCTGAGGCTGCCCTGGGTGGCCGCTGTCCTGTCCACCCCTGCGCCCCCTGTGAGGCCCACCTGGCAAGTGCACTTGGATCCCAGCTTCTCCCTCCTCCAAGAACATGGAGGAAGGAGTTTTACCTGGACTCTGAGAGTGACTGTCAAGAATCTTTTATGTGTATGTGAGGATTTATCAGAAAGATCCATCATTAGCATAACGCAGTCTTAAAAGAGGCCAGGACCCAGGAATGGGTTTAGAATCTCTGAAATGTAAGGGCAAACAAGGTCAGCATCAGTGAAGATGCTGGTAAAATGGGTATAAGTGAGGAGCAGGGTGGACACACCTGACCAGGGGTTGGGGGCTCTGGGGAGGTGGCAGGTCGGTGAAGGAGGGTGTTCTAGAAAGAGTGACACCAGAGCAGAGGGCAGGAAGGCATGCAGAGAAAAGCAGATGGTGTCCAGCTTGTCTACCAGGAGGGGCCACTAGGGAAGTCAGGGGGAGTCGGGGCCGTGAAAGCAAGTGGGTCACATGGAGGAGGACTTGGGGCCACAGAGGAGAAGACCGTGGGAGCCATGGAGGATGTGAGATCTGACGTGGAAGGTGGTGGGAGGAGGAGGAGAGCAGAGCCTGGCTGGCACGAAAGTCCCGGTGTTGTGACATGGGCCTAGCCCCTCCTTCACTGCCCACTCAGTCACTTTCCTGCCCTGCCCTCTGCCTTCTAGAATGTTCTTTCCCATCAAGTCCCTTTGCTGCATTTTTTCTCATCTGACAAATTGTCCCTTGTCTTATTTAAGACCTGTTTTATCAGAGTGACTTAAGGTAGACTCTGCCATGGAATTCTCCAGGCAGGAATACTGGAGTGGGTTGCCATGCTCTCCTTCACGGTATCTTCCTGACCCAGGGATCGAACTCATGCCTTTTATGTCTCCTGCATTGGCAGGCAAGTTCTTTACCACCAGTGCCACCTGGGAGGCCCCTTATCAGACCCTACCTTAAAGTAGACTCTGCCTGCTTAACCATTTCTGGTTGACCATGAGGTGGCCTCACACGGCACAGGAAGATTGGTAGCCAAAATTTACAACACAGCTGCTTTCTTATTATTTGACAGTTTGACGTTGAGTGATGATCTGCTTTCAGAACTCATCTATTCTCTTGTAAAAAGCTACAGAAGTATATGATGCAAAAAGTGACAGTTCCCCCCGTGGCACTCCCCACAGATGAGCCTCTGACCTCCTTGCTCTGTTGTCTTCGAGGCACTCGGGTTTGGGGCATCAGAGCTGCAATCCTTTGTGTTTCAGCTGCTGCTTTTGTCTGGCCCTGGTTGATAGTCCTAGAGCCCAGACCGTGCTAGGAGCAGCCACCGCACAGGACTAGATTGTATCTTGATGTCCCCAAGGTTCCCAGGGAGCCCAGAGAGTCTTTTTTTGGAGGACAGAGTCTGGGGCAGAGTCCAAGGGTGTGGGAGAGGCCTGACCGCGTGGGCAGGGGCTGCGGAGTTTGCAGTAGACGGGCAGCACCACGCTGGACTTCCTTGATCCTTGGTGTCCTGTGGTCCCTCTCCACCCTTCCCAGCCTGGCATGTCCTCCCCAGCCCCTCACACACCAGCTGATTCCTGGTGTTACTGTGCACCCCGCACGCATATGTCTGGGGGAGAAAAAGGCTGAGATGAGCATGGAAGGCAGGATCCTTCTTTGTGCGCCCTCATCATCACGCCTGGACCAGACAGAGCTCACAGGGCCTGGCCGAGGGACAGAAGGTCTCCTGCTGACCTGAAAACCCCCTGGAGCTTGTCATCGGTAAGCCTGTGGTCAGCTCAGGAGCCCCGGGCAAGTGTAGACCTTGTCTTTCTGAGACACTTTCTGTCTCGGTGCCGTAGTGACACTTCACATCAAGTGACACAAGAGCAGCTAAGGTGTATGGCATACTTGCTGTGTGCAGACACCGTTCTACGTGCTTCATGGTAACGAGTCACTCAGTTTCTCCACGGGTTTCTGAGCCCCGTCAGTGCTCTGGAGACACTCAGGTCTCAACACTCAGCCTGTTCAGGGCAGGAAATGACCTGTCCTGGGCCTCCGGCCACTTCCCAGCATGGGGTCTGCCCTGCCCGGTCTCCATGGCAGGTCATCTGGTTCCTGGCCCACGTCTGTCACCAGGATTGGGGCATTTCTTCCCAGAGTGTCCACACAGGTCCTGCCCTCCCCGCTCACCCTCTCCTCCTCTGCAGGAGAACCTTATGCTCTCCATCCTGCCCAAGCACGTGGCCGACGAGATGCTGAAGGACATGAAGAAGGATGAGAGCCAGAAGGACCAGCAGCAGTTCAACACCATGTACATGTACCGCCACGAGAACGTCAGGTGCGCCGGCCACGGGCCTGGGTTCCAAGCACTGGATGGGGGCCCTGGGGGGTTGACTGAGGACTGTGGGGTTCAAGAGTCTTCCTGGGGACTAGAAACACACACCCCCTCCCCACAGTATGAACCTCAGCCCCTGCAGGAGCTGCCTTGCTGCTGGATGTTGGGGCCTGAGATGGGCCATATGGTCCAGGCCCAATATTGTACAGACACCACAGACAAGCTAAGCTAGAGGCCAGAGCCCTGAATACACCCTGGATGTGCCAGGGTCTCACCAATTTGGGGCCTGAGCGAGGACCTGGCTGCCGGGGGGCTGGAGTGGGAGCTGGCGGTGGGTAGCCCGGAGCCCGGCTTGCTATCCGTATCCTCACCGCTGGGCCTTCCTCCCCTGCAGCATCCTCTTTGCTGATATCGTGGGCTTCACCCAGCTGTCCTCAGCCTGCAGCGCCCAGGAGCTTGTGAAGCTGCTCAACGAGCTCTTTGCCCGCTTCGACAAGCTGGCGGCTGTAAGTACCCTGCCCCTCAGCTGGCTTTCCACGGTGGGGGGCGGGGGGCACCCGTGAGGCCTGAGCCTACCTCTCCCCACTCCTCGCTGGCTCCCACGACTTCCTCCCACCCAGCCTTCCTCAGAGGTCTTCGCCTCTCACCCCTCCTCGCCGAGGAGGGGGGTGCCTCAGGACCCCAGTTCACACCCTGCCCTTTCAGAAATACCACCAGCTGCGGATTAAGATCCTGGGCGACTGTTACTACTGCATCTGTGGGCTGCCTGACTACCGGGAGGACCACGCGGTCTGCTCCATCCTCATGGGGCTCGCCATGGTGGAGGCCATCTCGTAAGTGGGGCACCGCTGGCGGGAGACAGAGGGGCTCCCAGAGTATGGGTCCTGGCCCCTCGGGGAAGCACACCTTCCGAGCTGGGCTGTTTTGGTGGGCGCTGTGCAACCCAGGCCCCCGAAGAGGGTCTGTCAGGGTATGACGTGGGTGCAGCCTCTGATGGAGGCTTTTCAGCCTTAGGCCATGCTGTTTGTTCTGCTGGGAGGTGCCCTCATCACGAAATGCTTCCACATCACATTTTCTTTATTTTCCTCCCAAGTGTCCCCCCATCTCTTCTCCCTGTGTTTCCTCATCATGACCCCCCCAGGACAGATAAGTTCAGAGATCCCCATGCCTGTCTCTTGAACCAGGAAGTCCGAGTGCAGCAGAGGAGTGACCACTGAGTCACAAGGTGTTTGGGCAGCAGAGCCGGGCCTGGAACCCTGGCCTCTGAGCTCAGAGCTCCGCTCCTGCCTTAAGGCCGGGAGCCTTGAGGGCAGTGAGCTCTGCGTCCCCAGGATCTTTCCCGCTGCAGTGTCTGCACCCTGAGCTTGGAGATCCCTGGGGGATGCTCCTGTCTGTCCCCTCAAGGCCTCTGGGGGGCCCTGGGTGGCATCAGCCCCCCAAAGCACCTTGCTGAGTCTGGGAATTGGGTGTGTGTCCAAGGGGATGGTTTTGCATTGTTAGCATCCTCCTCTAGGACTGCCTGGAGAGAAGCCAGGACTGACGTTCCCTGGGGACCATGGTTCAGGATTTAGAGATTCACCTCCACTCCCATCACGGTTGGGCAAAATTCTGAAATTCATGTCTGTATACTCTTGGAGGTCTCAGGCAGGCAGTAGTCCCCTCCACGCACACACACCTAGCACAGGGCCTGCACGTAGTAGGCGCTCGGTGATGTTGGCTGCATGGACGAGGGAATGGACGAGTGCAGTCAGAGGTCCCTCGGGGCAGAGCGTCTCTGCTGTTTCTGGCCCCCTGTCTCCCTGCAAATCACACACAGGTTGTTGAATGTGGGCTCAGGCCCCTGCTGTAACCCCAGCAGTGGGTGACTCAGACATGGGAAGCTGGTAGCGGCTGAGGGGGGGTTGGCCACCTGGCTGGGTGCAGGCTCAACCCACCCTCCTTTGTGTGGGCACCTGGCAGGTATGTGCGGGAGAAGACAAAGACTGGGGTGGACATGCGAGTGGGGGTGCACACGGGCACCGTGCTGGGGGGCGTCCTCGGCCAGAAACGCTGGCAGTACGACGTGTGGTCCACCGACGTCACCGTGGCCAACAAGATGGAGGCTGGCGGCATCCCGGGGTGAGTGCGTGTTCCTTCCCAGGGTGGGGACGGACATAGGGGCTGAGTGAAGGGACCGTCCCTCCCATCCCTCTGGGCTGTGGTCCAGACAAGGGACAAGGGGTCTTGGAGAACCAGGCCTCCGCACCCAGGAGCAGCTCCTCTTCCTGGGCCCTGCCCTCCCTCCCCCTTTGCTTGCCATGGGGCTGCCGGGCTCTGAGGTCCCCGTAGCTCCTGCAGGGCGCAGGTCTCAGTGGAGGGCATTATTAGCTGTGAGAGTCTCCTGACAGGCCCTGAAGCACCTGACATCTTACTGAGCTCTTTACAGACTCGGTCGGGGTTGGCGGGGCAGGCCCTGTCCTCAGGATGGACAGGGATGTGGCCAAACCTTCCCGGCCTGGGTCCGGGGGCTTCCCTCAGATGCAGTCACAGTTCTCTCCCTCACAGTGTCTCCCTAGACATGGGTTACTACCCTCTGACAGCTGGTGATGCAGCTGAGACTCACACCGGGTCGATACTAATCAGACCTTATGACCTTCTGTTCAGAACAGACTTCAATTCCTTATCTTATCTGATACCTCAGCCACCTGGGAGGACAGACCATCTCACGGATTGACCGCTGAGGCTCAGAGAGGGGGAGGTGCGGGGCTGCCCACACAGCCAGCTAGTGGCAGGACTTGCTGGTCACTGCTGTGTCCCAGGGGCAGCGGGTGGACTGGGGCTGCCCCGGGGTGGGGGCTGCCTGGCCTGTGCTCAGGGCCCCTCTCACTGGAACCCAGGCGCGTGCACATCTCCCAGAGCACCATGGACTGCCTGAAAGGAGAGTTCGACGTGGAGCCGGGTGAGGGGGGCAGTCGCTGTGATTACCTGGAAGAGAAGGGCATCGAGACCTACCTCATCATCGCTTCCAAGCCAGAGGTGAAGAAGACAGCTGCCCAAAACGGCCTCAATGGCTCGGTGAGTCCTCTGCCCGCCCCCGAGGCCTAGAGATGAGATTGTAGAAGAGTTGGCAGAACCATGAGAGGTCCTCTAGGTGCAGTGTTAGAGCAAAGGACAGTACAAAGTATTTTGTGCAAGGGTAAAGTCTGAGCAACAGGAAATGCTCTAAAGAACTCAGAAAAAGTAGAAAGCTGCGCTGCAGAAAATTAGGAAATGTCAGGATGGAAAGTGGAGCCCCAGGAAATGACACTTGACCCAGTCACAGAATTCTTGAGTCTTCATATTTTATGAGTGTTACATGTGGAACTTCAACATATTCCCTAAAACAAACTAAAAATCTTCTTCTAAGCAATTCTGTAAGATGCTAACTTGTGAAGTGATGGAACATTTATAGTTTCTGGCCAAAAAAAAGTTTTTAGTAAATTTTAAAATGTTACTCCTTAAAAAAAATTACACAAATTTGCTTGTCCTAGGGACCACCTTGAAGTCACAGAGCAGCAGTCAGATGTATCTTTGTGACAGCCACACACATTCCTGTTTGCTCTAATCTTGTGTTTTCTTATTCAGTCCACCCTTGCATGGTGCATCATCTGAGTCAGGAGTTGTTTGTGGTACCTGACACCCACAAGAAGGTTACGGGTGGGATCTTGGCTTAGCAGCAGCATCTTTATGAAGCTGTTTTTCATTATTCAGTTTTCCAATTAGAGAAAAGTTGAGTTCATGGATGTGTAGCTTGAAACACTGGCACAGAGGCTCCGGAGTCTGAGTTGTTGGGCCCCGGGACCCGGATGCCACCATGCAGGATGGAAGCACAGGCGACAGCCTCCCACGGCGGGAGTTAGACGTCTTCCCAAATGCTCCAGCCAGACCAACGAGCCGACCCATTTCTCATGGAATCATGGGCACTGTTCCCTTCAAAACTTGTACTGACATTTTGAGGCAATCCAGGTTTACAGTGTTTTGTAAAGTTGATTTGCAGCTGTTTCTTAGATGCCCCCACCTGAAAAATATAAATGTCTCAAAGTGGAAAAGCTGGATTAAAGGTTCTGTACAATGTAAGTTTAACCCACGTCCCCACCTCCTGCCACCCTCTCTGGGCCCTTGCTGGTTCTTGACTCACTTTTTTCTTCATTCATCTGAAAGGTGAAGCCAGGGTATTTCACTGTTTCAATCGCATTTCTTCAGTTATCAGCATGATTGGACACTTTCCACGTGGTTGTCAGCCTGGGGCTTCTCTTCTGTGAAGGGCAAACCCTTGAGGACTTTCTGCACCTTTGATTTGTAGACTTTGTTGTTTATGAGATGAACCCTCTGTCACACAATGCTCGTCAGATCTGTGTCAGGCATCCACTTCGTGCCCAGCACTGTGGCACATCTCTCTCGGGGAACTTAGAGGCTGGGCTACTGTAGATCATATCCGTTAGTTGTCTTCTCGACCGGTCACTGCAGGAACTGTCAGCCCCCAGTGGGTGTTAACTGTGCTGACAGCTTAGCACAGTTATAATAAGCCTTTGTGATTAGCTCAGTGGTAGTTTAGAACTTCTCCTGCTCCAGATGTGCTCTGAGAAGGCCGAGCTAGCAGATTACCAAACCTGCTCAGCAGGGCGTGAGTCGGAAGCAGTCGAGCACGGACAAGATAGAGGAGCTGACGCATGAGCAATGTGTGAGTGGTGACAGGGAGCAGTAGGGACAGAGGTGACGGGGCTTCTCTGGGCCTCACGGGAGCAGACACCATTCCATCTGCAGCGACCTCTCCCCATGGTTTAGTTGAACAGAGTGATAGGAGGAGAGTGTGAGAAGAGTTATCACAACGAATCCCTCCCGAGTGTTGAAAAGGTGTCTCCCGTCTATATGGACCTTGTTGCCGGTCTCATTCAGTTGTCCTGAATGCCGTCGCCAGCAGCTCCCAGACTGCGATCTCAGCCCCATTGGCATCCTTGCACCAAACTTCCAGCCACGTGTGAATCTCCATCTGCGTGTGTGTGCGCATGCATGCTCAGTCGTGTCCGACTCTCTGCGACCCCATGGACTGTAGCCTGCTAGGCTCCTCTGTCCATGGGATTCTCTAGGCAAGAATATTGGAGTGGGTAGCCATTTCCTCCCCCAGGAGATCTTCTCAACCCAGGGATTGAACCTGCATCTCTCGTGTCTCCTGCGTTGACAGGCAGGAATTTTTCATCATTGCGCCACCGGGGAAGCCCACTGGTCCAAAGCCGAGCTCCCAAGCCTCTCTCCACCCTAGAACCCACTCTTCCTTGGTCTTCCCAGTCTCGACCAGTGGCAACTCCATTCTTTTAACTGCTCAGCCCCAAACCTTTGAAGACATCCTTGCCCCCTGTCTACAATCCACACGATCTTGCACGATGTACCTCTAGGCCCCCTCTTCTCACCCCTGGCAGACACGTCCCCTCCGCACCATTGTCATCTCATGCTTGTGTCAGCGCGGTGGTCCCCCAGCTTGTTGTCCTGCTCCTGCCCTTGCCCCGCTGCCCTCTTTCTGCTCACAGCTGCCAGAGTGATCCTGCAGGGATGTTGGGTGAATCATGTCACCTCCCCCGAGCTCAGCATCTTCCTTTGGTCCCCATCTCAGAGGAAGAGCCAAAGTCCCCTGAGGTCAGGAACCCCATCCCGCAGGTCCTCACCGCCCGACCCCTTTCACTCACTCGCTCGGCTGGGGCAGTGCCCGTCTCCTGGCTGCTGCTGAGACCCTGCGGGTGCATGCCCACTCTGGCTGCACACCCACTCTGGGTGCACATCCACTCCAGTCTTCCTGCTCCCCAAAACCTGTCTGAGAGCTGCATAATGTGCTCCTTCACGTGTTTACGGGAATGTTATCCTCACAGTGACTCCTCCCCAGCCTCCGTTTACAGTCACCTCCTCAGGAACCACTGTGTCCCTTGCCTCCCCTGCCTCTCCAGGCCCTGCTCTCAGACCTCCTGTAATCATTTATTCTTTGTTTCACCGCTGTCTGCCTGTCCTCACTAGAAGGTGGGCTCCCGCTTCAGGACATTGTGTATGTGTCCCCAGAAGTTACAACAGTTCCTGTCACACGGTAGCTACTCAATAAATAACTCAGTAAATGAATGAGTGGACTGTGTTCCTATGTAGAGGATCTCATTTATTCTGTCAAGGAAAAGTACTAATCCCTGGGGAAACTGGTTTATGGAATTTATTCAGATGTTTGGAAGGCGTTTGACAGGGCTCTCTACCCCAAAAATGATCCCTGTGAAGCTCTATATCCCTCAGTTACTTAGAAATAGGAATTAGAACAATAGGATCTTTCTCTGCTTGGAAAAATTTTAATACTAGAAATTGTATTACTAGAAATTTAGTACTGGATGTTCTGGAGGAGGAAACGAACAGTGAGATTTATTTCTAAGGCTATGAGGCCTCTGAAGTCTGGTGGGGAGATTCCAAACCAGAGAGTAGACCAGCCCCTCGCCTGGGTGGGCGGCTGGCAGTGCCTGGGGGCCCCTGATGGCCCCTCCCTTCTGCTGCAGGCCCTGCTGAACGGAGCGCCGCCTTCCTCAAAGCCCAGCTCCCCTGCCCTCATTGAGACCAAGGAGTCCAACAGGAGCATTCACACCAGCGGCTCTATATCTGAGGAGCCCGAGGAGCAAGATGCCCAGGTATGGGTGGGACTGAGCCCCGGGATGTGGGCGGAGATGGGGAGGCAGAAGGTGAAGAGTTCTGAGCTGAGGGGCTGGCCTGGCCCCTAGCTGGGCTCCATCCTTGGAACTGAGTAACCCAGGGCAGGTCACCCCCACCTGGTCTCACTGGCCCCTCTTCAGTTACTGGGGATTGGGTGGCTAAGGTCAGAAGGCGTGCCCACTGCCACGGCCTGGTCCAGCTCTGATGTCCCTAACCCTGTAGGTCTGAGGGCAGTGAGGACACGAGCGGACACTGCTCCAGGACTGGACTGTTTTGGAAGTGGGCCTTCAGGGCTGTGCCCACCTCTCTAGCTAGGTCCAAACCCCGCAAGTCCTGTGCTCAGATGGAGGGTTTCCAAAGGAATTAACAGGCTGTCCCCCCTGAGATCAGGGTCCACTTTGGGAGAGTGTCCAGGATCCGTCTTACTGAAGAGCTTCCTCAGTACATCCACTGACAGAGGCAAGTGCTGAGATGGGTCTCAGACCTGCCGTGAGCTGGTCAGCCGCATCGCTGGTCTCTGCTGCCCTGTGCCTGTAGATCAGGTGCTGGAGGACAAGAGGGTGGACGGGGCTGAAGAAAAACTGGGTTTTCTTGAGTACCACAATACTCAGTAACTCTTCCTTGTGATTTTCTTGATAGAAAGTGGAATACCAATGCAGTGTAATTCACTAACAAGAAGAACACAGAGGCTTAATTAGCAGCCTGTGATTTCTTCTGTCCTCACGATTAGCCAGTGTCGCATTGCTCTCAGATATGCCTCAGGGACGGAGATTCCTGGTGCTGGAAAAGAGCATCCATGTTGTGTTACAGAGAAGAAATTGGGGCTGGAGGAGTGTGGATTATACGGGTCAGGCTCCACCCGAGGCATGCCTGAGCTCCAGCCCGGGGCATCTTGGTTCTGGCTTCCGGATAGACTCTTGGACCCATCCAGATAGCCCCAACGAGCCCGGTCCCAGTTGTTTGGACTGACGGCTGTGTAGTCCTGGTTTGGAGTCATGTGTCTGGAGCTGATGCTTTTCCTTTGTGACCAGGAATAAAAATGGTAAGGGGCACCCCAGCCCCACCACCCCACTAACAGTAAGATTGTTGGTTTCTCTGCATTGCTTTCCCCTTCAGATCTTCCTCCCTCAGATGAGCCAGATCTGAGCTCTTTTAGGAGCTCCCTTAAGCCCGAGGGCTGGAGGTCTTTTACATCCCTGAGAATGCCGATGCATACGGGTGTGTGACACCCCTGTCCTCATAGCAAAAGGTGCTGGCACCGCGCTGCCCAGCAGAAATCTCTGACGCCAGGTCTGCTCAGGAGCCCGGTGGCTGCTCCCCATACTACCATTAGTGGGTGGTCACTGCAGAGCTCCTGTTAGGGGTACGGGGCCTGGGTGAGTTCAGGGAAAGCCAGAAGGCCTGCGGCTTTGGGTTCAGACCCAAGCAGGATGGAGCCACGTGAGACCACTGGGAAGACTTTCCCCAGGAGATGGTTTTGAGAGCCATGGGGCGGTGCTCTGTGATCCCTTCTGTCCTCCTTTCCCCCAACACCACTGTGTATCTCCCCAGTCTCTCCCTGCTCCACCCCACCTGCCCCCCAACTCAGCTGCCCTGCCTTGCAGGCTGACAACCCCTCGTTCCCCAACCCTCGCCGGAGGCTGCGCCTTCAGGACCTGGCTGATCGCGTGGTGGATGCCTCTGAGGACGAGCATGAGCTCAACCAGCTACTCAACGAGGCGCTGCTGGAGCGGGAGTCTGCCCAGGTGTAAGCGGCCCCGTGGACACCTGGCCCCTTGGTCTTAGCCTTGAGTGGCCCTGGCATGCGGTCCAGGAAGTTTAGTCTTCTTAAATGTGTCTCATGGGGCTTGTTTGCACTGCAGAGTGAAGAAGAGAAACACCTTCCTCCTGTCCATGCGGTTCATGGACCCCGAGATGGAAACCCGCTACTCGGTGGAGAAGGAGAAGCAGAGCGGGGCTGCCTTCAGCTGCTCCTGCGTCGTCCTGCTCTGCACGGCCGCAGTGGAGATCCTCATTGACCCCTGGTGAGGGGTGGGCAGGGCAGGCCCAACAGTTGGCAGGGCGGAAGGGGACGAGCTACCTAGGCTGGAGGCCAGAGGGGAGAAGGCCTCAGGTGGAGCCTGACTCAGGGCCTCAGGCTTGGTTCCTCGTGCCTCACCCCCAGAGCAGCCCAGGGAATGCTGGGACTGCGCCCTGCACCCCCTTCCTTCTCTCTGCCCCTGGGTCCTGGGATAGAGCTAGCGTCAAAGCGGAGCTCACATCAGGGCTGAGAAAGCTGAGGAAGGGAGGGGTCCAGGGGATGGACATCTGGCTGGGTGGGCCTGAGTGGTGCTGGGACAAGGAGACGGGCTGGAGATGCTCTTCAACCTCAATCGCCATGGCCCACTGGCTCCCTTTCTTGGCTCATCTTAGTAAAGACAGATTTCAGGCTCTGACTGTAGACTTGTCTCCTCTCACAGCTGTGAGAGGTCCTCCAGGGCAAGGCAGGGTGTTGGGGAATCCTTGCCCCAATCCTTGCTGAAGCCTGAACTGAAGGATGACTGCCCCCTCCCTTGCTTTCTCCCCGTAGCCGATCAGTAGTTTGCTCCAGTTCAGGGATTCCCCACTGGGAGAGGTGTGGAGCCCTGTTCTGATCACAGTTTGGGGAACTTAAAAGAGCCTTGGACTTGTCACATAGTCCTAGGTTCTGGCTATGGCTTGTCGCCTATTTGTTCTATTTGGGCACATCACTAAGGGCTCCTGGAGCATCCGTTTGCTCACTTGTAAAGTGAAAGATCAGGATGCTGATGATTTGAAGATAATATCTGGCTAACTCAGAATTGTTGTGAGGACCAAATTCATTCATTTGCTCCACAAATATTTACTGTCTACCTTGCACCTAGGGTTAAGGTCTAGGGATGCAGTGAACACTGTCAGTTCAGCAGCCCTTGGCTGTAAGCTGCTCTGTTCCATGCTCTCTCCTTCCATCACAGTGACATGGCAGAAGGCTTGTTCCTAAGAATCCCTTCCCAGATTTTACTGGGCTCTACCCAGGGCATCTGTAAGTCTGCCCTTCTTTGGGAAATGCCTCTAAAGAACAGTTACAGCTGGGGAGGGTTGCGTCTCCCCAGACCCTGCACGCAGCTGCATGGAGGGGAAATCACATGGAACTTTTAGGGTACAGGCTTGGCCTCACTTAGAGGGTCTGCCCTCTGTCTCCCTTCCTCTGTTCTCCTGGCCCCTGACCCAGCTCACTAAGCCCCTTGCCCACCGCCGCCTCCCCCCACCTCCCGCCCTGGGCCCTTCCTCATCATGTTCTCTCTCTTACAGGCTCATGACGAACTATGTGACTTTTGTGGTTGGGGAGGCTCTGCTCCTGATCCTGACGATCTGCTCGCTGGCTGCCATCTTTCCGCGGGTAAGAAGCATATCTCCTCCTGGCTCAGAGCTGTCTGGAAGTATCACTCCCGGTGAGCGTGGGTGCTGATGGAGCTGTCAGGTCCTGTCAGGTCCTGACAAGTAGATGACTCCTGTTGCGAAGGTTCAGGCACCCATCCATTCATTTATGACAGACTCCTTCACTATTGGCTCTGCACCCTCTTTGGTCCAGGCCCTTGAGCACGCAAGGGTGAGAGAGCCTGTATCAAGATAAATGGGAACCTGTGTGGAAAAGCAGAAGAGGCCTGGCTGGAACGTGAACTGGCTCCAATTGCAAAGGACCCAAGGCCAGACACAAGGGATTAAGACTTTCTCCTATAAGCAGTGGGTGCCAGGCAGAGGTTTTGATCAGAATGACAAGGGAAAAGCAGCATTTTAGGACATTTAATCTGGCAGGTAACTCACAAGAAACTTGGGGGTTTTAGGTACACTGACCCAGGGAAGGCAGGAGGAGCCAAGCAAAGTCAGCCGGCCCTGAAAACTCCCCTGACCTGGCTTCACTGCCCAGAGACCAGGAGTGGACCGCTGCTGGAGGGCCACCCACAGGCTCCGGGCTGATCCCTGAGTGGCTCTGGGAAGGGCTCTGATATTTGGGTCATGGTGTTGTCACCCACACCTCCAGCAGCACCAGCAGGCTGAGCTGGGATCCACGTGCCTTCTCAGTTCTGCCGCAGTCGGCTTTTGGTTGACGCACATGCACAGCACTGCTTCCCAGGTTCCTGGCGAGTGTGGGAGCAAGCAGAGTGGTTAGCCATGTTTACAGAGGAGAAGGCTGTCAAGGCTCAAGGCCCTTGAAATTCCATGCTTGTAGGCCTTTCCAAAGAAGCTCGTGGCCTTCTCTACTTGGATCGACCGGACACGCTGGGCCAGGAACACCTGGGCCATGCTGGCCATCTTCATTCTGGTCATGGCAAACGTGGTGGACATGGTGAGCCCCCTCTGTCCTGCTGAAGGGACACCCGCTCTCAGAGGAGGCTTCTGAATTGACCTGCCTGAGCAGTTGCCAGCCCACCCTGTCCCCCCAGCTATCCACACTGGCCGCTAGACACAGGTTTGAGTGGCACTTGGGTTCCTAACTGATCATCCTGACCAGCAGGGTCATCTCCCCAGGGTACCTCCCAGACTGCCTCTCTCCCCCGCCCAGCTCCTTGCTCTCCCCACATCCAGGAGCCCAGCTCCAGGACCTGTGCTGGGGGCTTTACATAGGTTGATTCATTTAATCCGTATAATAATCCCAAGAGGTCGGTATCATCTGTAGTTTCCTGTGAAAAAATGATGCTCAGAGAGGTTAAGTCAGTTGTTTTAGGTCACACAGCCAGTTAGTAACACAGTGAACTGAAGCAATTCTACACCCTGTCCTTTGTTTTCTTCCTCTATGTCTCACTGCTCAGGGGCCCCAGTACTCTAAGCTTTCTGCGTGTCTTAAGTGTCCCCTAGTGAGGCTAGTGTCAGGCATCCAGCAGGACAAGGGAGATAAACCTGCTCCCCGAGAGGAGCGCTCCTGTTGGGCCTTCATCCATCTGAGCAAGGCCAGACCTTCCAGAGGTGGGTCACTGGGGGCGGCTGCCTCACTGAGCCCAGGAGGCTGGTGGCAGATTTACTCCTCTGTTGGGGCTTCCCTGGTGGCTCAGATGGTAAAGAATCTGCCTGCAATGCGGGAGACCTGGGTTCGATCCCTGGACTGGGAAGATCCCCTGGAGGAGGGCATGGCAATCCACTCCAGTGTTCTTGCCTGGAGAATCTCCATGGACAGACGAGCCTGGCAGGCTACAGTCCATGGGGTTGCAAAGAGTTGGACATGACTGAGCCACTGAGCTCACGTGAGATCTGCTCTCCCGAATTCCTGCTGGTTCCATGAAGGGGCAGAGGGACAGCTGTGGGAAGCCACCAGCCAGTTACTGAGCACTGGGCACTTAGAGCTGTCACTGGTGTTCTCTTGTCAGGCCTCACAGCTCCCTCCAATGTTGGTAGCATTAGGTGCACCCTCTTAATTTAAGAGTCCTATTTTGAAAATAAAACATTATTTGCGTTGTTCTCTTTAACACTGAAGCACAGGAGAAAACTCAGCATGGAGACTTATTCAGCAGCATATAGGTGAGAAGCCCTAGGCCATTCGATCCAAGTTCAACAGGAATGGGGTTCAGAGCCCTGACGTACCCACAGTGCAGGGAAGAGAAGGCCCAGGTCTCCTGCGTGTCAGGAACCCCTGGAACCTGACGTCTGGGTCTGGGGACCGCTATCTAGCAGGGTTGTGGACACTTGCAGGACAGCAGGAGGTCCTGTCACCAGGAGGTCCTGTCACCAGGGGAGGGGTGAAAATCTGGCTAAGTGTAAGATTTTCCCCATGCTAGAGTCACATGCTGAGGGCTTTCCCAAAGCCAGATAATGGCCAGGGGGTGAAAGTGAAGAAAAGTAGGTCTGATTCAGTTTATGGATGCACTTTCCATTGACCACATTGCCCAGCAGCGGGACTGGCAACCAGACTCCAGAAAGGAGTCTGAGTGGGGACTGGCTGCCCTCACAGTGAACTGTGAGGGGGCTGACTGGCTGACCCAGAGCTCCTCTGGGGCAATAGTGCAATGTGGGCTAGAGCATCTTGGGCTTGAAACCTAAACCCCAGATTCCTAGTCTGGCTTTACCACCTGCTAATTTTGCTCGTTTGGCCAAGGGTGGCCTGTCTGTTTTATATGATCGTGTGTGTGGTGTGTACTAGGTCGCTTCAGTCTCTGACTCTGTACGACCCCATGGCCTATAGCCCTCCAGGCAAGAATGCTGGAGTGGATTGCCCTTCCCTTCTCCAGGGGATCTTCCTGACTCAGGAAGACTGAACCCGCATCTCTCATGTCTAACCTGCATTGGCAGGCAGGTTACCACTAGTACCACCTGGGAAGCCCCTTATATGATGGTAGCAGTACTCAATACACAAGAGAATTTCCATGATCATCATCAGAGATGATGGTAAAGCTCTTAGCAGGAATTACTGACTTGCGCATTACTGTCCCCTGGTAAACTTTCCCTTCTTGATCGGGGTTTCTGAGGGAGCCATGGACATGGCAGCTGCCACGGCCCAGCCTTTTCTTACCAGTGTCTGCTGTCCCCTTGCATCCCACGCTCTCCCCATCTACTCATGGTCCTGGCCTCCAGCTCAGCTGTCTCCAGTACTACACAGGACCCACCAACGGCACTGCAGAGATGCAGGTGGAGGATGGCTGCGTGGAGAACCCCAAGTATTACAACTATGTGGCCGTGCTGTCCCTCATCGCCACCATCATGCTGGTGCAGGTCAGCCACATGGTCAAGCTTACACTCATGCTGCTCATTGCGGGTGCTGTGGCTGTCATCAACATCTACGCCTGGTGCCCCATCTTTGATGACTACGACCGCAAACGCTTCCAGCAACACGAGTAAGATGAAGCCTGTTTGGAGATCCGCATGGTCTCTTTCCTCCCACCCGCCTCCCCAGTCCCCGATTCAAGCATGGTCTCCTTCCTTTCACCTGCCTCCCCAGTCCCTGATTCAAGGTCACGGGCCTGCAGTGAGCTGGCCATCTGTCTCTAGGGCTCATCAAAGGCTTGTATGGGAATCAGGGTTTGTGGCTTCTCACAGATTGGTTGGCTGTGATCCCAGGACAGATCCTGTCCCTTTTTGAGGACTGAAAGGCCCAGGTCACCTCAGTGTTTGGCTGGGTCCAAGTATGTGTTGTTATCTGTCCCGACAGCTTTCCGATGGTGGCCTTAGAGAAGATGCAAGTGTTTTCCAGCTTGGGGCTCAATGGCACTGACAGGTAAGTGTGTCTACTTTCCCGTCCTGCCCTGCGTTTCCGGTCCTTCTCAGGGAGACAAAATACAACAGGGTCTCATCCTTCCAGAGGCACACTGTATGGGATGTTCAAGCTTGAAAAGTCAGCATGTTTCTGTGGGAGGTTGGAGCAGACTTTAGTGCTCATCTGGACACGCTGGCCTTTCCTGAGGTGAAGAGAATGCAGAGCGGTCTAGAGGGTAGAATAGAGAGCAGGCTGGAGAGGTGGAGAGAGGAGCAGCCACATGGATGACAGCTGCGGAACAGACCTCAGAAGTCTGAGGAGGGAGGACCCTTGTGGCATTCATACTAGAACACCTGGATTCTTTCCCCACCACAGTAGTTCTCTGTGGGGTCTCAGCAGGCCAGTTTTCCTGAGTCTGTGTCATCTCTTAAAGAGGTTATCAGTAGAATTCTTCAAGATCCCGTCTTAGCTTTGAAGTTTTAGAATGTTACAATGCAGTGACTTGACTAGACTTTTAAGTAAGTTAAGAAAAAAAAAGAAAAGAAAAAAGATTATCTAACAGAAGATGGATAGAAGACTTGAACAGGCCTTTCACAAAGGAAGTCTAAATAGGCACTAGTAAATTAAGGGCATTCAAGTAATCAGGGTCATACAAATTAAGACCACCAGGAAAGACTGTCACACCAACCAGTATGGCAAAAATTAAGAAGTCTGATAACATCATGGATTATGGTAACCCATACATTCCTGCTGGAAGTATAAATGGTACAACCATCTAAGAAAACAATTTGGAGTTAATTAGTAAAGGTGAAAATAGACCTCAGTAATTCCACTGCTATGTATCCACGTTAGAGAAATTAATGTACATGTTATTTGTCCCCAGATGTATGTACTAGAATGTCTATAGTTGCACTGTTCATAATAGCCACACATGTACAAACATCCAAAACAAAGGAGAACCCCAATGAAATTAAGACTAAATGGATATTGTACATTGTGGTATATGCATATAATACCAACTCAGCTCCACGCAAAAATATGGCTGACAGTTATAGAAAAGCATGGTGCAACTGTGCCCTCATCCCATCACTGAGATATTAGTCTCTCCTTTCTCCAGATTCCTACATGGTTGCGACTACAGCTGTGATCACTCAGATGATGTGGTGTTTAATAAACATCTAGGGAGCAGCTCTGAAGGCCTGACATGGATTCCAGGTGCAGCCAAGACTGGCCAGGAGTTGGCTGGCAGTTAAGACAAAAACCCAGTGATTTCAGAAATTTTTACTGCCCAGTGGGCATCTGGACTTTATATGAAGGTGCTTAAGCTACTGAGAAAGGTTTCTGGGGTGATAGGAAACAGCATAGCCACGTTAGAGGGGATAAAAACTCCCTTGTCAGCAGAGGGCAGCATGGCGCACTTTCAACTGAATTCTCTGGGCCCCACAGGCTGCCCCTGGTGCCGTCTAAGTACTCGATGACAGTGATGATCTTCGTCATGATGCTGAGCTTTTACTACTTCTCCCGCCATGTGAGTGCCTGCACACCCGCCCCTTCTGTGCCGACTTCTCAGGGCCTCCTGAGAAGCAGCCCCAGGATCTAAGAATCCAAGCTCCTGGGGAATGCCGTTTTCCTTACCCCACATGGCATGTGACCTTGGTCAGGCCACCACCTCTGCCATTTTCTGGTCTCTTCCTCACGAGTATTAATACCAGAAAAACAGTTCTTACCTCTTGCTCTGATCTGCTGATGAAAGCCTGGGGGTGAGGTACAAAGCCTGGATAAAATCTCTAATTTCCTAGGCCAGGGGCTCATGGATCTCCACTCATCCTGGCTCTGGGGGTCACTAACACACTGACTACAGAGCCACAAAGGGAAAGAAGCTGGTGAAATTTTTGTTTGGTTAAAAGGAAAAAGAGGAAGAGGGAGGGGAGGTACTCACACAAGGGACTTACTTTCATATTAGCTCAGGAGCCACCCAGTGGCTTGTCAGAGAACTGCAGCCACCCCCAGCCACTTGTTGGCAACTGGAGCCTGCTGGAAATGAGGACTTGACTTCTCTGTGTTAAGAGATCCCCATTGCTGCCACCACCCACAAGGCTGATCTGTAGCTAAAATGAGGTCCCAGGAGGCCCCCTCACATCCTCCTGTGACCACAGAGGCTGGGATCCTCACCCCAGTGTAGGGTGTGGCCTTTTTTTTTTGATGAGATGAGTCTTTCTGGGGCTCATTTCCCCAGCTATCCAGCCATCTCCATTTTCCTTTCAGTTTTTCCATGTTGGAACCTCTCAAGTTCCCATTTTTCAACTTTTTTTTTTTTTGGATGCACTTTATGGGATCTTAGTTCCCCAACCAGGGACTGAACCCAGGCTCACAGCAGTGTAAGCACCTGGTCCTAACCACTGGGGAAACCCGAAATGGCCAGCTTAGGGCACACACCTCGCCTGTGTCTGTCCATAGGTGGAAAAGCTGGCACGGACACTGTTCTTGTGGAAGATTGAGGTCCACGACCAGAAGGAACGTGTCTATGAGATGCGACGCTGGAACGAAGCCTTGGTCACCAACATGCTGCCTGAGCATGTGGCACGCCATTTCCTGGGGTCCAAGAAGAGAGATGAGGTGAGGCGTGGCCCCATGCTAGAGCCATGGGGCTGTCTTCTGGCTTTCTGCCCTCTCGTGACATGGCCTGGGGACCCAGGTTGGGCTGGACCTACACAGCACCACAGTATTAGAAGTGAATCTCTTGGTGAAAAGCACCACTGTAGACATTGTTTCCACAAGCCATAATTTCTGTGAGGCCCGTTTCAGAAGATGAGGCCTTGGCAGAGCCCACCTTTCTGTCGACTGTGATCGTCTGAGTGGTTCTCATGCCTCACTTCCCAGCTTGCCACTGCCCTCTTTCCTAGAGCTGTGGCTGTTGGCAAGAACTAGCAAAGCTCTTTTTTGGTTTCCAAAGTTGCAATGAGCTACTTTCTAATAATTCAGTCAGGATAGTCTGGGAGACGTGTGTGTCCAAGAAGCTGAGTGCATATGTCATGGGTGTGAAGGACATTCATTTCTGTAGCATATCATTCACTTTGACTGTCTTTGAGCGTTTTGGCCCTGCCTCTCTTCAGGAACTGTACAGCCAGTCTTATGATGAGATTGGAGTTATGTTTGCCTCCCTGCCCAATTTTGCTGACTTCTACACAGAGGAGAGCATCAATAATGGCGGCATTGAATGTCTGCGCTTCCTCAATGAGATCATCTCAGATTTTGACTCTGTGAGTGACTATCCTGGCCCCTGCACCCTGCCACAAAGCCAGCCCTTCCAGATTGCAGCCCAAGAAGTTTGGGAGTTACTTTGGCTGCTGTTTTCCCATAAAAACTCCTCCTCAAAACGCATGGCCTTCTGTAGTTGTCTGGAAATGTTGGGTCCCAGGTGGGAGCCTGGGAAATCACCTACAAGCTCACAGGATAAGGTCTGGCCAAAACAAGATTCTGAGGCCCCTCTGGTTCCTCTTATCCTCAAATTCAGATTCAGCAAACATTTATCAGGTATTAATAACTTGTGTACCAGGGGAAATGCTTTTACATACATGCTCAACACTTCAAGACTGGCCCTTTTATCCCTGTGTTAATGTGGTAGAAACTGAGGCTCAGAAAATCAGGACATTGGCCCAGGATAACATGGCACGTGTTGGCTAAATGAAGCTTTTATAGGAAAACATCTTAGATGTTTCATGGGTTTGTTGTTAAAAAAAAAAAAGGGCAGATCTGTCATTTGGTTGGCTCATTCATCTCCCTTGACTGCTGATAATTCTCTCTTAACACTGGCCTCAGCTTCTGGACAATCCCAAGTTCCGGGTCATCACCAAGATCAAGACCATTGGTAGCACCTACATGGCAGCTTCAGGAGTCACCCCAGATGTCAACACCAATGGCTTTACCAGCTCCAACAAGGTAGCTAACCTGCAGTAGCTAGAGATGGATGGGGCAAGAGAGAGGCAGCCTACACATCATTGGTGGGAAATGGTCTAATAAAAATAGCTGCCATTAAGTACTGTTGTTGCGTGAAGGCGTCCCCTAAGACACACACCAACTAGCACCATGCGGTACAAATATAAACACAGGTTTACTGAATTTAATGAGCAGAGAGGAGAACACACATGACCCTCCTCCTGCACTCCTGTTCCACAGCTTAGGCTGGGCACAAGATGGTTTGTGTAATTGTGCACATGCTCTCTAGTTTGTTGAAATATATAGAGTTGATTTACAATCTTGTGTTCATTTCTGCCATACAACAAAATGATTGTTATATATTCACATTCTTCATTTTCTTTTCCATTATGGTTTATTACAGGATATTGAATAGTTCCCTGTGCTATACAGTAGGACCTTGTTGTTTATCCAGTCTCTGTGTAATAGTTTGCATCTGCTAATCCCAAACTCCTAACCAGCCCTCCCCCACCCTACTTAGCAACAAGTCTGTTCTCTGAGTCTGTTTCTGTCTCACAGATAAGTTCACTTGTGTAATATTTTAGATTCCACATAAGTGATATATGCTATTTGTCTTTTGGACCTAGTGTGATAACCTCTAGGTCCATTCATGTTGCTGTAAATGGCATTTTCTTTCTTCATGGCTGAGTAGTATTTCACTGTATGTATACATGTGCCACATCTTTATTCATTCATCTGTCATTGGACATTTGTTTCCACATCTTCAGTTCAGTTCACTCAGTTGTGTCCTACTCTTTGAGACCCCATGACTGCAGCACACCAGGCTTCCTTGTCCATCACCAACTCCTGGAGCTTATTCAAACTCATGTCCATTGAGTCAGTGATGCCATCCAACCATCTCATCCTCTGTTGTCCCCTTCTCCCACCTGCAATCTTCCCCAGCATCAGGGTCTTTTCCAGTGAGTCAGTTCTTTGCATCAGGTGGCCAAAGAACCGGAGCTTCAGCATCAGTCCTTCCAATGAATATTTCCTCTAGGAAATGTTTAGGACTGATTTCCTTTAGGATGGACTGGTTGGATCTCCTTGCTGTCCAAGGGACTCTCAAGTCTTTTCCAACACCACCATTCAAAAGCATCAATTCTTCAGCACTCAGCTTTCTTTTATAGGCCAACTCTCACATCCATACATGACTACTTGGCTATTGTAAATAGTGCTGTAATGAACACTGGGGTGCATATATCATTAAAATTAAAGTTTTCTCCAGATATATACCCAGGACTGCAGGATCATACGGTAACTTTTTTGAGGCATCTCTGTACAGTTCTCCATGGTGGCTGTACCAATTTACATTCATACCAACAGTGTAGGAGGGTTCCCTTCTCTGCATTTGTTATCTGTAGACTTTTTACCAATAGCTATCTCCATTTTATGGATGAGCTTAAAAAGACATGTCTAGGACGGTGTTTATAAGCTAGCTAAAGGCACCCAGCGCTCACAGCCACTCTCTGGCACAGGAGGAGAAGTCAGACAAGGAGCGCTGGCAGCACCTGGCAGATCTGGCCGATTTTGCGCTGGCCATGAAGGACACGCTCACCAACATCAACAACCAGTCCTTCAACAACTTCATGCTGCGCATTGGTAAGGCCTCTCAGCGTGCCAATCCTGCTGTGTGCCCTTCTCCCCAAGCAGGGGGCTCTGCAAATCAGGGGAGGGGTCTTGGAAAGACCTGATGCACTTTGGGTGGGGAGGGTCACACTTCTCAAGCTGAAGGGACCTTAAGGGTCTTTAGGTCAGTGATCAAACAAAAAATGTGATACTCAGCCATTCCTGTCCCATGCTGTTTATGATGGCCTCCCTTCTGAATCTGGCTGGGGCTTGAGTTTGTCTCACTTTCCAGGGAATCTTCTGTCACTTCAGTCTAGCCCATTAGGATTAACGTCACCCATCACACACTTTTGGGGAGGGGGGTTCTCAATCCTGGGCAAGGTCACAGGAGACTTGAAGTACCAGGTGGGTGGCAAGAGAAACTGGCAACTTCTGCACTAAATTACTTAGCACACCAGGGTGGCTGATGTCTGCAGAGCAGTGAGGACGAGAAGACTTGATTTCTGTCCTCTGGGAACTCAAGAGTCAGGCTTGATGAGATCGGGTTATATAACCAGGAGCTTTGTGGCTGGAGTCAGGCGGAAATTGTTGAGAGGAGCTGGTGGCTTCTGCGAGCTCAGCTTGGGCTGGAGCTCAGCTTGGGCTGGAGCTCAGCTTGGGCTGAGCCCAGTTCTGTGCCCCCACCCCCCCCAGGAATGAACAAAGGAGGGGTCCTGGCTGGGGTCATTGGAGCCCGGAAGCCACACTACGACATCTGGGGCAACACAGTCAACGTGGCCAGCAGGATGGAGTCCACAGGGGTCATGGGCAACATCCAGGTAGGTCCAGGGAACAGAATCAGAGCAGGGCATGTGTTGCTGGGCACTGCGGCCTCTGTTCTGTGGGCCCACAATGTTAAGCGGGTAGTGTTGCAGTCAAGAGCAAGAGTGGGAAGAGCTGCCTCAGTAGAAGGGAGGAAATATTTCAACTCTATTTGCAAAATGTAGGTTTAAGTTTTGGGTAAGAACATCCTGCCTTTTGATGTGAACTAGCTGACATTTTGGGCCTCCAAGTGCTCCCCTCAAAACCATCTGATCTTTGTCACTGGGATCTGGTAGGAAAGCTCCACAAAAAAAGGCAAAGAAGACAGAAAAGCAAGATACAAGTTGCCAAACAAGGTGACCTATGGCTGACCTCCTGGAAGAGCAGGCAGAAAGGCTACCTATGGGAGAAAGGAGGGCTAGGCAAACCTTCTCTCCACCCCCAACCCACCGCCATCTGTGCCCAGGCTGAAGGGGACAGGAGGGGAGCCCTGCAGGCCTGAGTATGGGAACTGTGCTGGGTGCCGCCAAGCCCCTCAGCCCCAGGCTCACTCTCTAACCCCAGGCTCTCGGTTCTCCTCTGTAGGTGGTAGAAGAAACCCAAGTCATCCTTCGAGAGTACGGCTTCCGCTTCGTGAGGAGAGGGCCCATCTTTGTGAAAGGGAAGGGGGAACTGCTAACCTTCTTCTTGAAGGGCCGAGACAAGCTGGCCACATTCCCCAATGGCGCCTCAATCACACTGCCTCACCAGGTAGTAGACAACTCCTGAATGGCCTCCAGCTCTACGAGAACCCAAACGGGAGGGAGTTTATTTCTGGGAATCAAAGAAAGGCCTTGGGAAAGGACATGTGACCAAGTCCCAACAACCCAGGCTGTTGAAGCGCACTCACATAGACTTTAGGTTTAAGAACTCTCCTTCAGCCTTCATCTGTCCGTGGGCGTGCGAGCTCTGGGGGTGGCCATCCTATTCCTCAGCGTGCCTCTAGCTTCCCCAGAGTAGGGCTCACAGTCACAGTACTGGAAGGTTCCTTCCGGAGCCCTAGGTCTCACCAGCCCTCTTCCACCCAGAGAGGCCACGGCCACTGTGAGTAGAAAGGGCTGCCAGAGGAGGAACAAGGCTGCTGCCCCTGTGCCTGGCTGGAAGCACGGGTGGAGCAGCTCTGCTTCAGATGAGGGCCGCCCGCTGGCCACCACTTGCTCCCCAGCTAGAACCTGGAAGCAGTGCTTTTCAATCTGAAGACCTGCTTATCTGTGGTCTGAGTTAGGTGAAATGGCCCTTGTCCTGATAAATCTTGAAAGGTTCTTCTGGAACCCGTCACCTTAGTCATGGGAGCAGAAAGTGCAATATTTCCTTTTACCTGGTGGGTGGGAGGGAGGGAGGGAAAGGGATTTCTGAAAGAAAAATATATAAACAGATCTTCTACATTTATATTTTTAACTTTCTGTTAAGAAAACATTCCAATATTGCCTTGCCTTTTGAGCTCTTGCTACAGTCGCCTTTGCTACTGCTTAAAGAGAGAATTTACAGGTATTGATAAAGAACAAGACTGTTTTATTAAAAGCTTTATTCAACTTGAATATGATCATTTGTGCCAATTCTGTTAACAGCCCTCATCTGAGAAGTGCTTTGCTCTCTCCCACATTGGTCCTCATGTGCCTGGAAGGCAAGAACTTAAACTACAACCTCTCTCTCATCCTTAGGCTGCTTCCTTCTAGATGGTGGTCCCAGCTGGCTCGACCATCCCCCTGTGCTCCTCCCAGAGGTACCTGTGGCACCCACACCTACAGGTTGCTGCTTGGCCATCAGCTCTAGGACAGGACCATTTTAGAATGAGGCCAGAATACAGCTCAGGGTTTTGGACAGTAAGGGTAGTGATGACTCCTATTTGTGACCTGGCAAGTGACAGGTTTTCACATCCATGCACTGGCCTTGCACATACTCCCAAGGCAAGGAACAAAAAAAGCCAGCAGAGTGGAGGCCATGGTTATGTGGAGAGGTGGTTCACTAACTGGACTAGGAGAGGATGAAAACAATTGTATGGCCAGGGCCTGGAGCTTACAGAAAAGGGAAGAGATAAAGGAGAGGGGTCCACTTCCTTTGCAATGATCAAGGTATGAGTAGACTTCTAATCATGAGCTGACTCAATATATTCAGTGCTCTCCCAACTTGTTTTAGGAAACGACATTAGATACATGCAACCCCAATTAGTCTATCCTTAGTACTCACACCACATTCTTTGCAAAGCAGTGGCCGAGAATATTCCACTCCAAACCAAAGATTAACCACCCTTCCCTTCTTAATTATATGATTCATGTCATATCACGAACCCTTAGAGTTCTAAGAACTTTCTTCTCAAAAGTCACAAATAAGAAAATGAGACAAAGTTAGCTGAAGGTTTCATAAAAGCTACATAATAACTCTTCAATTAAATGGTAATACTCCCTCTCTCACAAAATGCCTTTTGTAAAAAAATCTCATTTTCAGCTAAAACGTACGATTAATATCTCAAAAAGAAATGATTTTGAGCACTGGAGCAAGTGACCAGGCAATTTTGGAGACCTATCCAAAAATGCCAGGGTCAACAGACCCAAACTTGCCCCTGACCATCCTGATAAGGTGGGTGTCTGTTTTCACTCCAGGGACAGTCCCCAGGAGAGGAGTCTGAGCCTTTCAACAGTCTTCCGTCCCCAGGACCTTGCCCGCAAGTGTGGTCAGTACTCGTTTACTCACTTCTGATGTGTTCCCAAAGAAAATATTCTAGGAGAGCGGGCTTATATCTAGCTTTTCTCCTTTTCTTGCAAATGATGTAAACACCTGATGTAGGGGCTTCGTAAAAAATAGGTTTTCATGGTCTGCTCGCTGTTCTTCCCACGTACTGGGTAATGCTTCCATCCCTGAAAAAAAAGAAAAGACAGGATCTGTCAATCTCACTTAGTGCAACTGAAGGAATCAGAATCTAGAGCACTAATATTTGGGACCCATGGAGCTTTTTTTTCATTTTTGGTCTGGAGCTGAGAGAGGCTTGCCCCTTATTGGTCCAATGAAATTTTGAGACCAGAAACTTAGACTCTGCCCAGAGAAATCTAAATTCTATGATGTGAAACCTGCCTCCTAAAAACATTTTATCCTTTTTCTCGTTACTGTCCATTATGTAACGTTTAACAACAGAAGTCTCGGCCATCCCTGAAAAATTCCCATTCAGAGACCGGTCTCTGCAGAGCTAAGGGTATGCCGACTTGTCACATCTACTTGGTTTCACAGTGAAGCGAGTCTAGGCTTTCGCCACCACAGCGACTCTATGATGCAACCTCATCAACTGTCTTAAGAGGGGTTTCCAATGAAAACAAATCATAAGCTGAAAGAACTCTGGTGGCGGTGGACTGAGCAAAGGAGAAAGAAAAAGTTGAATAATTATGTTTACTACTTAACAAGGAGGAGAGGAAAAACTGGCAGAAATAGGGCAGATATTCTTGGTATCTTACTGACTGTATTTTTCGGTTCACAGTATGGAAACAGAAAATAGTATCTCAACAGGACCAGCTGATACAATCTCACTATTTCACTCTGTTTCAATCATGTGAATAACACAGAGCATATTGTAATTTCTTCCTGGAGGCATCCTTCCTCTTACCTTGAGAAGTAACAGTGACGTCAGTTGGAAGGGTTGTTGTGAGGTCCTTATACAGCAGTCTAGCACAAAAGGGGAAGGACTGACCTTCCAGCTTCACTTTGTAAGTAAATGACAGCAAGTTGCACAATGAATTCCTCTGCAAGGGCCCCACAAGGAAGGCTGCAAAGTCACTCTAATGGGGATGGGGATCAAAAGAGACACAAAGTATATGACAATTACAGCTCTAAAGGCAGTAAGTGGTTATGACGCATCAAACATGTCTACCAAAAACAGGGCCCATTAATTAAATCTCAGAAATAAATGAAGGATAGAGAAAGGCCTGAAAAAAGGACAAATGATAGAGATTTATAAGATAATTAAGAGTTGGTAGCAGCCTAGAAGGCCTGTAGGAAGCACTTACTAAGTCAATGGCTAGAGGCTGGGGAGTCACTATTTCTGCTAAGAACTCAGGGGACGTCACATGTCTGGCTAAAATGCTTCATGTCTACATTCACATGTCAGTATCTAGCTGATAACCAGAAGTTTCGGTCATTCCAAATGCACAGAGAAATGCTAAGCTTGTAAGAGTCACTTATTCCCTGCTTGCATTCATTTCCATTTTTTCTCCCCCCCTTTTAAATGCAACCCTAGCTCAGTTACAATCCTAAGAATGCAAGCCTGAGCTTAGGCAAAGATGGACAGCATTCCTCTATGGCATTTTCAGAAACCATTATTCTGCTTTGCACCTATTCCCAAGGCTCAGCAAAGATACCTGGAACACAGCAGGTCATCTACTGGACCTCCACTGAATTAAAAATAAAGCAACTGTACCCTATCACTTTGTGAGAGGAAGGAAGGGTCAAGTATAAAAGCCTGAGAATCACCATGCATGAGTAAATAATCCCTTCACCAGTACCCATGCTCAACACCATCCAGAGTTTCAACAGAAGAAGAGGTGGAAAATAGCTTGTGTGTAAATAAGAAATGAGCATTAGGATGACAACAGTCAAACTTCTGGCTTGGAATTATGAAGCATTCTAAAGTACAAAAGAACATGTCCCTTTCTTTCAAGTCTATCTGGGCTCACAAGATGCTTTATAAGACCACAGATACCTGAAGTCGATCTGCCTGGTACTTCCTCCCCGAGTAAGCATTTAGGTATTCGCAGAGAACAAACAGGAAGCGCTGAGTATTAGTCTGTAGGTATTTTGCAGATATCTCTTCTAGGGGAATGAAGACTGGAACCGAATGGTGATGTATCCAAAGTGGTTTCTCCATGACAAGGTCCACAAAGTAGGAATCCAGCAGGTTCCCCTCAAAAGCAGTGCTGATGCAGACACAGACTCCTCGGCTGGTCAGCTTCCCGCTGATCCCTGGGACAAGTAAGACAGTGCCTTAAGGGACGTGAGGCAAAGGCAGTATCCTGTTCATCTGTGCACCCCACGCCCCTCAGCTCCACCTAGTACACACACCATGCGCTCCAATGCTCACTGAACAAATGTCTAGACTCTTCTGACTTTGACTTACTTTGAATCTGTGTTCTTAAAACCACAGAATGGTGGGGGGAAGAAACATTCTAAGTATCAAATTATTGAAGAAGAGATTTTGAAATTTTCCATTTATCTATGGCTCCTTTTTTCCTGAGTGTCAAGTAACTTACGGTAGTCCCCAGGGCTTCTCACAATCCTCTTATGATACAGATAATAGGTAAGTAAGTCCTCATTTTAGTGGTGAAACAGAGACTTGAGGGGTTTAAACTGTTTGAACAGTGGCATCAGGCAAACCAACTGTACAGGAAGTTCTAGCACACGGTTTAGCACATGGCGAATCACTACAATGAATAGTCTAAGCCAGTCACCAACCAATCTGCTGCTGCACAGCGGCCAACTTTGCAGGTAAAGCTGCCTGTGAATAGCATGCCAGTTCTGCATGTGTATGTCGGGGGGTGGAGGGCAAAATTCAGTGTTAATGAAATAGGGCCAGGACTAATAACACATCTTACAAACTATCTCACTAGAGAGGAGACTCAGACTGAAACAGGTCAGAAAAATATCATACCTGTAAAACGATATGCCTGCAGAATGGCTTTCACGTTTTCCTGTTTTCTCTCCAAAATTTCTTGCTCACTAATCTCTAATGTTTGGTCAGGTTCGACATTGGCAGTAGATGCTTTAACCTGCAAGACATGTAGCAGATCAATCTGGGTACAGAGGCGTAATAAAAGTCCCATGCCCTCACCTATGTGGGAAAAATGTAAATGCAGAGTATTTTTTTTTTAATGTTATGAATCAAGAAATGCTACTGTGGCCAGCCAGCTGGTGCTATGAATTCACAGTAGAGGAAGAATCTTGTGGGTTATATACAGTAACAGGAATCAGAAGTAGAAAATGTGCCGGCCTGAAGAACAATGCATTTGGCTGCAGTATAGAGTCTTGTGAGAGGAGAAAGAAAAGGAGGTAAGGAAAGCTTAGGGTAAGCAAAAACAGCTGTAAAGAGGCAAAGCAGGGAAAGTTGGGTCAGACTGTGCAAGCTTTCAAGTGCCAGGATGAGAAATACTGATTATAAGTTGCATACTGTGAGCTACAACCCAGTAGATGCTATCAAACTAACTCCTTCTGAGACAACTACATAAGCTGATGAAATACCAAAAAGAAATGAGCAATCATGCAAGTAAACAAAGAGAAAATGGCCCGAAGGCATCAGAGAACCACCAAATTACCCAGACTGAAGACTAAAGATAAATGTGGAAGTTAGTTGGGTTTTCCCCCTCATAGTGTTGTTGATTTTTATCACACAGCATACAGGCCAAATAGAAAGCTGCAGGCTAGTTTCTGCAGCAGTCTCAGTGCCAGGGCAACAGAAACTGGAGATGGAGGTTACCAGAGCAGTCTTCCTATGGGCCAAGATATAGAAATGGGAACCCAACAGGCTGCATGCCACTTGTCCTCCAGGTGTAACAGAAAGAAGCTGCTGAAAATCAAAAAGCTAAGCAGACTGTGGAGGCCAGGGCCTGCCAAAGAAGATGGATCTTAACACATGTGTCCTAGCACACCCAAGCTTTCAAGTAAGGCCTCCACAAAGGACTACACCCTTCAAGTGAGGGCAAACCAGAAACAGATGACCTCAGCTGGTTGACAGTGATGTGCCCATACACTATCTGCCTGTCAGAAAAAAACTGAAATTCTTTCTGGAAGAAGATAGCATAGTTCAGAATCCCTATTTTTTTCAAATACTACCCATCACTGAATTAAAAAGAAAAATTACCAAGCATACTAGAAAAGAGGAACAGATGGCTGAAAACCAGAAGGAAAAAGAAGACAACAGAAGCAGATCTGAGGGGATTCAGCTATTTGAGTTATTATCAGACATAGTCATTAACACAGATTAAAGAATGGAAAATTCATACCAAAGGGCTGGAATCTACTAAAAAGAATCAGATGAAAATCCTGAATCCAAAAAATACAGTTACAGAAATCAGGAATTCAACGGGTTTAAAAGCTGACCGGACACATAAGAAAAGTGGAAAATAGGTATACTTTCATAGCTAGATTAAAGCAGAGTAAAGATATAAGACAGCTCACAGTAAAAACAAAAACTCCACACATGGAAGCCCCAGAAATAAAGAAAAAGGACAAGACAGATACATTACTTGAAGAGATCCTGGGCAAATTTTCCAAACGAAAACTGCAAGTGATTAAGGAGTATTGTAACATAAAGCAGGATAAAGAAAGAAAATCAATCCTGGCCACATGATGATGTGAAACTGCTAAAACCCAAGGACAGAATCTTAAAAGCAGCCAGAGGAAAAAAGACAAATTATATTCAAACAGGAAGACTGACATCTGAAAGAAACCACAGAACCAGAAGACAATGAAAAAATGTATTTAAAGTATGAAAGAAAATAAATTTCAACCTATAATTTGAATACCCAACAAAAATATCCATTTAAACATGAAAAACATAGTGAAATAAGGGTGCTTTTCAGACAGACAAAAATAGAGAATTTTCATTTCCAGCAAACCAACACTGATAATGGTACCAAAAGGAGCTACTTAAACTGAAGGAAAATAATCCCAGATGAAAATATGGAAATGCAGTACTAGAGAGCACTGAAAAGAGTAAATAGGTATATAACTTTATAGGCACAGTGACTGTACAATGAAGTGTTTCATAGTTTAATACATGTAGAATTTACATACGACAATAATAACATGAAAGGTTGTATGTGTGGGAAAGCAAAGATGTTAGGTTCTATAATTATAAAGTGGTAAAGGCACTACTCTAAAGTATATTCGAGTAAGAAAAACAAGCCTGTTTTGTCAAGGATAATCACTAAAAAAATGCTAAAAGTCATATAATTAACAAGCTAATGGAGAAGTGGAATAATATCCAAAAAGTAGCAAGAAGAGAAACAAAGAACAAATAAAATAGTAACATGATAGACGGAGATCTAGATATATTGCGTTATATCCTTTAGCCGCTCAGTTGTGTCCAACTCTTTGCGACCCCATGGACTGCAGCCCACCGGGCTTCTCTGTCCATGGGATTCTCCAGGCAAGAACACTAGAGTGGATTGCCGTTCCCTTCTCCAGAGGATCTTCCCGACCCAGGGATCGAACCCTAATCTCCTATATTGCAGGCAGATTCTTTACCGTGTGAGCTACAGGGAAGTTCTTCTAGATATGTTAGGAATCATTAAAAGTTCGTGGACTAAATAATTAAAAGACAAAGACAGCCAGGCTGGATTAAAACTAACTATATGCTACTTACAAAAATAAGAACTGTTGAAGTTATACTTGACAAAGTTGGCTTTAAGGCAAGAAGTTTAAACTAAAAGGGAACACTGCATAATGATAAAGTCAAAGTCGCTCAGTCATGTCTGACTCTGCAACCCCATGGACTACATACAGTCCATGGAATTCTCCAGGTCTGAATACTAGAGTGGTTAGCCTTTCCCTCTTCCAGAGGATCTTCCCAAGCCAGGGATCGAACCCAGGTCTCCCGCATTGCAGGCAGATTCTTTACCAGGTGAGCCACCAGGGAAGCCTAAGAATACTGGAGTGGGCAGCATATCCCTTCTCCAGCGGATCTTCCTGACCCAGGAATCAAACCAGAGTCTCCTGCATTGCAGGCAGATTCTTTACCAACTGAGCTATCAGGGATAGCTGATAATGATAAAAGGTTGCTGCATAAAAATAAAAGGCTTACTAACCAGGAAGATAAAACAATCCTAAATTTGTCTGTACCTACTACACAGCAGGGCTTCCCTTGTAGCTCACTCGGTAAAGACTCTGCCTGCAGTACAGAAGACCCGGGTTTGATTCCTGGGTTGGGAAGATCCCCTGGAGAAGAAAATGGCTAACCCACTCCAGTATCCTTGCCTGGAAAATCTCATGGACACAGAAGCCTGGGGGGCTGCAGTCATGGGGTCGCAAAGAGTCAGGCATGACTGAGTGACTAACACTTACTTACTACACAGCAAAACTGAATGAAAGGGGAAAAAATGTACAAATCGACAATCATAGTGGGAGATCAACACATTTACCCCAGTAACTAATAAGCTGACAAGTAAAATAGTGAAGAAATGAACATCATGATGAACACATTTGGTCTATTTGATATATAGTGAGAATACAGTACCCAAAAATGTAAAATCCACATTTAATGAACATGAACATTTGTCAAAATTCACCACATGCTGGGTCATATTCTTCAATCACAATGGAATTAAGCTACAAATCAATAACTAAAAAAATTACTAACAAATCCAATTTTTAGATATTACGTAGTATATTTCTTAAACCGATGGGACAAAGGAGATATCACAATGGAAATAAAAAATATTTTGAATTGAAATGATAATGAAAACATATCAAAACTTGCAAGATATAGCTAAAGCCATGTGCTATGAATGTTTGTGTCCCTCAAACTTCATGCTGAAATCTGATGCCCAATGTGATGGCATTTGGAGGTGGGGCCTTTCGGAGGTGATTAGGTCATAACTGGAGAGCCTTCAATAGTGTCCTAATAGTGTCTGGAATTAGTGTCCTTATAAATGAGATGCCAAAGAACTAGCTTGCCCCTTGTGCCATGTGATGCTACAATGAGAAGACCACAATCAAAGAGGCAGTAAGGGGGACTCCCCTGGTGGCCCACTGGTTAAGAATACGCCTGCCAATGCAGGGGATGCATGTTCAATCCCTGGTCTGGGTAGATCCCACATGCCGCAGAGCAACTAAGCCCAAGTACCACAACTACCAAAGCCCATGCTCTGGAGCCTGTGTGCCATAACTAGAAAAGAAGTCACAAGTCTGTGCACTGCACCAATGAGGACCAAGTGCAGCCAAAAATAAAACATTCTTTTAAAAAGAGGCAATAAGTCCTCAGACGCTAAATTTGCCAGTATCATAATCCTAGACTTCCCAGCATCTACAACTGTGAAAAATATTTGTTGCTTATGAGCCATCTAGTTTACGTATTTTTGTTATTGTGGCCCATGTAGATTAAGACAGTATGCTTAGAGAGAAATTTATAACTTTAAACACATACAGAAGAAAAAAAAAAAGATTTAAAAAACAATTAATTATTCATCCCAAGAAAGAAGATACATGCCATGTACAATGACTGGAAGGCACAATACTATAAAGATTTCAACTCTTTCCAAATGGATGTATAGATTTAGTGCAATCATTATCAAATTAAAGGAGGTTTCTTTTTGGAAACTGACAGCCAATTCCCAAATTTACGGGAAATTTGAGGGGCCAAGAATGGCCAAGATAATCTGAAGAGTGACCTAAACTATAGGAATCAAAACTTTTCAGTAATAAACCTCTGGTACCAGCACAAAGACCAACAGACCAATGGAACAGAACAACTCAAAGATGGGCCCGCAGTGGAACCCAAAGATCCACTACAATACAATGGGGAAAGAGTGACCTTCAAGCAGTGGTACTGAATGAACTACATACCCATATGGAAGAAAACAACAAAGTGTGACCTTCAGGGATTTCCCTCATAGTCCAGTGGCTAGGCCTGTGCACTCCCAATGCAGGGGGCCTGGGTTTGATCTCTGGTCAGGAACTAGATCCCATATGCCACAACTGAGAGACTGCATGCCACAACTACAGATCCAGAGTGCCATTAACTAAGACCTGGCACAGCAAAATATATAAATAATGCTTTTAAAAAAGAAGTAGTATGACTTATATTTCACACCATGTTACACAAACATCAATTCCAGAGGGACTGTATTTCTGAAAGTAAAAGTAAAATAAAACTTTCAGAAAGTAACAGAGAACATCTTCATGTTCTTAAGTTAGGCAGATATTTATTCAAAGGAAACATGAAGTTAGATTCTTAAATCAAACCTCATTAAAATGAAGACTTTCTCCTCATCACAAGATGTCACTGGAGAGTGAAAAGGCAAGTTAGTCTTTAAAAGAAGATTTGGAATACAGATATACAAGGTACTTCTAACCAAAATGTGTAAAAAATTCTACAATTTAATAAGAGATATATGACCCAATAAAAATTCTGCAAAAGTTCTGAAAAGTTCATTTCACAAGAGAAGACTTTCAAGTGTCCAAAAAAGGTACTTAAAATAATTAATTAAAAGAACTCAAATTAATTCACGGTGACTTACTATTACACTCTCACTAGAATGATAATTTTTTAAAACTGACAGTATCAAATATTGGTAAAGATGCAAAACAATGGAAACCCTATATACTGTTGCTGGTCATGTAAAATTAGTACAGTCAGTCTCAAATTCTGTTTGACAGTATTTACTAAAGATAATCCTTGTACCCTGTGATCCAGCAATTCAACAGAAAAGTACATATTTTTACATCAAAAGATAGCAACAAGAATACTGCATTATTCTTAGTACCCCCAAAGTGAAAAAACCCAAATAATGTAAATGTCACCAACAGTTCAATCAGTAAATAAATTGTGGGATATTTTCTAAAATGGAATAATTATATAGCAATAAAAAAGAATGACCAGGGGACTTCTCTAGTCGTCTAGTGGCCAAGACTCCGCGCTCTCAATACAGGGGTCCTGGGTTCGATTCCTGCTCAGGGAACTAGATCTCATATGCCACAACTAAAAGATTCAACACAACCAAATAAAATAAGTACATACATTGTTGCTGTTCAGTCGTTAAGAAGGACCACAGCATGCACCAAAATGGATGAAACTCAGAGAGAAATCAATCCGCAAAAGAAGACAGAGAGAACAGAGTTCATACTTTTTTCATTTATATAAAGCTCAGAAACAAGTAAAACCAGGGTATGGTAACAGAAACTAGAATACTGTTACCTTGAAGGAAATGACTAGGAGGATGGAGGAGGGAGACTTCTCAGGTACTGGTAATAGTCTACACCTTGATTTGTATGGTACTTACCAGAGTGTGTTCATCTCTATAAAAGGATCTTTAGATTTTTGCAGTATATACACATATTTATCTATCTATATTAATAATAGATTTTTTTCTTTACTAAAAAAAAGAAACAGAAGGAGGAGGAAGAGAAGAAATGGAGACAAGGAAGAGAGAGAGAAGAAAAAGAAGGAAGGCTGAGGACGGTTGTTGACAATGAGCAAGAAAACTTGTAATTTAATGAAAAATGTAGTATTTTATGAACATTTTCTTGGCTGTGCAAAATTTATTGGAAAATATAAATATTAGAAGAGAACCAACTAGCAGACTACTACAATAATCCTACCATCTAAATCACCTGGTAAATATTAAGAACCATGTGTATAATGTACAAGCTACGGTAAGGAGGAGGTGGAGGAGGGGGGCACAAAGACAATCTAAAGAATTTGACAGGTTTTACTAACTGGATCTGGGCTAGAGAGAAAGCTTAAAAGAGGGAAGAGTCAAAGTTTACTGTGAAGTTTCAAGTTGGGTGAAAGACTCTAGAAAAATGGTATTAATGACAAAAGTACTAATGACTCAAGTCCGGGTGACACTGAGGCAAGAGGCTCATGTCCATGAGAGCAGGTTAAGAGACTATTATGAATTCACCTGGCCCATCGGTAAGGCCTGCCAACTGTTAGATGATATTGCTATCAGCTGACTCTATAGGTGTGATCGCTCGAGGAATCAAGGACTGAAACTGCTCCAGTTAAGACCACAGGTAAAACATATTATTCAGATTTGCTTATCCCAGATCATGTTAGGTTTTTACACTCCAGGAAAGCCTGCCAGCATCAATCACACTTCTACTCACTCTGGCTTGACGCTGTTTCACTTCAGCCCTCAGGTTATCTCGCAGACGTTCCAGTTCATGAATCCTGGCTTCAAGAGCCTGTGCATCCTGTGGCTCTTCCAATTTTTTATGGAATTTGCTCACTTGAGTCTCTAGTCTTTCCAAGTGAGCTAAAACACCTGAGGGAAGTAAAAAGGAACTTTCAAACAAAGCTAAGGATTTCTAACTCCAGGAATAGGAAGCACTTCAGGGAAGAACAGATGGTGACCCTTTCCCCAGAACTTTGTGGTCAGTTAAACTGTAGACAACAATTGCCAACAATTTATAAAACAAGAGGAGCTGACAACAGAAGTCAATGGTCAGCAACCTCTTAGGCAGAACACTGACCTACAGGTGGTTCCTTATTAGGCCACTGTTCAAAAAGGGAATCATCTAAATATAGCTAATCTCAGTTATCTGTGATAATAGTGACCCAGAGGAAAACAGGGTCAGAAAAAGCTTTTTTTAAATTGGGTTTTATACACGTTTTCCCAAAGTGGTAATGCATAACTACTTGGATTTAGACATCCATAGACTTGAGTGAGTATTCTGAAGCCCTGAAAAGTATCAGGAGCATAGAACTATAAAGGCACACACTCAAGAGGAACTGTCCACCAATATTACTGGGTATTAGACAGGAAAAGAAGCTCACCAATGGATAGAAACTCGGGCAATCTCAGTTTCCAAGAGACTAAAGACCAATATAGTTGAGGTCCTAGTTTTAAAATGCTAATTAACTCTAACAATGAAGCATCTGCGAACATATCCTACATATTAAGACACTTGCACTAGATCCTTTACTTGCAAAGCATGCAAAGAATTAAAGCATTTATATCTCCTATACATTATGCATCTGCTAAATGCTTCAATGAGAAAGCATTAAAACAATTACTTATCTAAGTTCCACAACCACCATCACAATGCTATTATTTCCTCCATTTTTCAGATGAAGCAATCAAGGCAGAGAAAGGTAAAATAACTTGCCCAAGGCCACAATATTTATAATGACACAGCCAGACTCAAACCCAGGTCTAACCAACACCGGTCACTGCCTGGCACGGCCCCTTCCACGGGAGTAATGCGGAAAATGGCCCCCCAAAAGTTCTGAGAAGAAAAGAAGGCTCACTGGCTAGAACTGCAGCTCTGAATACAAACATTTAGCATACTACCGCATGCAACCTACTGGTCCACAAAGGGAAAAGAGCTTAGGAATAAATAAAAGTCATTTTTCTTGCTCCAATGATCTCAGCAGCTGCCTTTAAGTCTTTCATGTTAGTCTCGTTCACCATCCTGCTCCCAAACTTTGGGTTAGAGGAGAAACGGGCTTTCAGCCTGAGAATTATTTTGAGGAGCAGTAGTTAAATGTGAACCTTTGAATACCTCCGCGAGACTCGCCGTCTTGTTTTAAAGTATTTGCCAGCTCCATCTCCTCCTCAGATTTTCAAAGGCCTTCCTAGAGAAGTGGTCCAGGCACCAGTAATTGAGTTATCCTTGTGGGCAAAAGAAAATGGCAGGAATGTATTCACACTCACGACAAACCCACAGGGCCGGCCCACACAACGCAGACAAGCAGCCCTGAGCCCCGACACCCCAAGGGTATTCGCTAGGATGCCCCTTCCCCGACCCGCCCGGCCCATCCCCGGGTCCGAGTCGGTGTCTACCTCCCGGTCCCTGCGGGCTACCGCGGCGCCTCGTCTCTGGATTCCCTTTCTGAGTTTCCTCGCACACGGAAGGGGCTGTTAAGAGGCCGCTCAACCTTCCACCCTGATTAGAGCCCGGTCCGACACTGGGCCTGTCTGTCCCTTTACCGCCTCTCTTGCTCACTCTAGTCAGGGCCAAGAATTCCCGCCATCCTCGGCTTCAAAACCAAGCCAAGCGGTCCCAGCGTGCTTTGCGCTCCTGCCGTACAAAAACATGGCAGCCCTCAGGGCCCCTCCCTGATCCCGGCATGCACCGCGGGGTAGGCCTGGCCTTTCAGCTGAACAGGAAGATGGCGGCCTCTGGCGGAGAGCCGCAGATCCTGGTACAGTACTTGGTGTTACGAAAGGATCTATCACAGGCTCCGTTCTCCTGGCCAGCGGGCGCAGTGGTCGCACAGGCCTGTCACGCAGCCACCGCGGCCTTGCACCTTCACCGCGACCACCCGCACACAACCGCTTACCTCCGGGAGCTAGAGCGCATGCGCAAGGTGGTCCTTGAGGTGAGGCACTAAGCAGAGGGGTGGGACATTGAGGACGCTGGGCCGGAAGTGGGTGTAGTTTTGAGTCCGGCGCCTAACATCTTGGAGTGGTTGTGGCATGGGGGGGGGGGGGGGGCGGGGGGCGCCTAACATCATGGTGTGGGTGTGGCGTGTGTGTGTGGGGGGCGCCTAACATCATGGAGTGGGGGTTGGGGTGGGTGTGGGTCGGGGGGGTGGGTGGGTGTGGGTCGGGGGGGTGGGTGGGTGTGCGCGCGCGCGTGGGTCTCACCTGCGTCCCTCTTAAATAGATGCCTGGTGAGGGCGAAGGGCTTTCTACCCGCCTTTCTACCTGAGCGCTGGGCTGGCCCTTTTAATGGCTGTGCTGAAAAGTACAGTGCTTATCCCTCTCCGAAGAACCGATCCAGAAGCGTAGGGACTCAGGGTTCCTTTCTGTAAGTGAAATCAAACTGAAGCATTTACCTGGGTCTGACCCCAAAATTTGAAAATAAACGTGAACCCTAGTGTGACTTGAACCTAACATCAGAGGTAAGGTTCTTTTTACAGATGGCCAAACAGATCTTACTCTTACCTTCTGTCAATTCTGCCTCTAGAAATGTATCTTAAGAAAATAACAAGATGCATCCAAAGAGCATTGCACAAAGATACTCATAGGAGCGTTTTATAATAGTAAAAAATGTGGAAATCATTAAATTTCCAATATGATGAGTTGGCTAAACTTCGACCCTGATAATGGATTATTATGACTAGCCTAAATCGTGTTTTTGAAGTACATTTAGCTGGCGTGTAAGAGTGCTCATGACGTGGTGCTCGTTGAACTATATTCTACATACAAAATGATCCAGATTATGATAGGAAAAACTAAATACATCCAAGTATTAAATAGTGGAATTTTGTTTTTTTAGTAATGCTTCTCTTTTTACTTTTCTACATTAAGCACATATTTTTTTTAAGCACATATTTTATAATGAAAAAATGATTGCTTTCATTTGAAAGCAGATTTCTTCTCATAAAATTTATCTTAATAACTGAGGTGGAGGGTTGGGGTAATTCCTTCTGGGCTAGCTGGCAAAAGCATTATTTTTCAAGAGAAAACTTGCTGTTGAGTGTTGAAACATCAAACAGTAACCTGCAGGAAGAAGTCCAGAGAATCTGTAAGGCAGAAAAGAAACATAGCTTTTCCTCTGGATTCTTTTTATAGGATTTTTATAGGAAGACTTCAAGAAATCATGTGGTTCGGACATCTCCCTCTCTCTTGCTTTTAGCAGATAAAAATATTTACCCCTTTTCTCAGATGAGACATCTGAAGCTCAGAGATTAAGTGACTTGTTAGCTGTGACTCAAGAAAGGGACTTAGGAGTCACCACTGATTAAATAAAGGTGCTCCCGTAGCCACAAAGACCAATAAGATATAAGACAATAAACTCCATTTACTGAGTGCTTACTGTGTGCCAGACACAGATCTGAGCTTAATTTCACTGAATCTCATTACTACTAGGAAGCATTATCATCCCATTTTACAGGGGGGAAACAAAGGTTCAGTTAAGCCACACAACTTATCAGAGATCACACAACCAGTAAGTGGTGCAAAGTTAAAGTGTTCGTCACTCAGTTGTGTCCAGCTGTTTGTGACCCCATGGACTGTAGCCCCCAGGTTCCTCAGTCCATGGAATTCTCTGGGCAAGAATACTGGAGTGGGTAGCCATTCCCTTCTCCAGGGGATCTTCTCAACCCAGGGATCAAACCCAGGTCTCCTGCATTGCAGGCAGATTCTTTAACATCTGAGCCACCAGGGAAGCCCAGTAAGTGGTATAGCAAGGGTTTGAACTCTTTACTATACTGCTCCTGGTGCTGAAGAAGGAAGGAAGGGAAGTCAATGCATTCTTCTTCAGTATGCCCAAAGGACTCAATAGATTAAGAGTAGCAATCCCAGCATCCTCTACTTTGATAAGACAAACCTCTAGTTACCTTAGTGACTTCTGCCTTTCTAGGCAGAATACACACACACACACACACACACACACACACACACACGTATACCTTATGCAACATAACACACTAGTGATCTTTATTTTCTGAGTAATAGCTTTACTATTTCCTATAATGGGATTCAGCATGGGTGATAAAGATGATGAGAAACAATTTCAGAAGGACACTGGAGAATCATTTGCCCACCATTGAGTTAACAAGGGAGAACTATCCCAGCAGTAAGAAAATCCTTGGTTTGTGTGGACTAGGGTGGAAGTAGGAGGGAGGTGGAAGTGATGTGATTTTAGAAAGCCTTCCAGTAGTCAACTCTTCACATCAGAGCTGGCTATGGGATTAGTGATGGCTGTTTAGGCACCAGAACTAGGAAATGCATAGAGCATAATTACTGACAGCGCATTCCCTCAGCATCTCAGGAGGGGAGAGAAAAAAAACTCCATTTTATACACAGGAATATGAAACCTCACCCCACTCCCACCCTTTCAGAGAGTGAATGACAAATGGAGCGATGAAGCTGTTGCTTCTGGAGACATTCTCTACAGCGCCTTCTTTGGTAGAGCTGTTCCTCCACTTTCAGTTAAGAGGAGTCCCCCTTCATCCTTTTTTTTTGCTTTTGCTTTTGCTTTTTGTCACTTCCTAAGTGGGCTTTTCAGTCTGTGTTCTGCTCCTTTTAGGCCCCGGATGAGACCACCTTAAAGTTGCTGGCAGAGACGCTGCAACAGAAGAACATTGACCACAAACTGTGGATGGAACAGCCAGAGAACATCCCCACTTGCATCGCACTCCGTCCCTACCCCAAGGAAGAAGTGAGCCAGTATTTGAAGAAATTCCGATTGTTCAAATGACTGACATTATCCATTGCTTTGTATATTTGAGTATCAGCTGTATCCAGAAACTGCATGCCGTCCATCCCTAAGCACCGTGTACTCCTTTCAATGACAATTCCCTCTTCCTTTTAAATTATGGTAGTTTTTTTTTTTTTCTTGGCCATGCCGCATGGCTTGTGGGATCTTAGTTACCCAACCAGGGATTGAACCCACATTCTTGACAGTGCAAAATTCTAACCACTGGACTGCCAGGGAATCCCCAAATTATGACAGTTTCTTGAAGGTCAAACACATGTTCATATTAAAGTTGTCATTAATAAGTATTTCCTCTTTTAATTAATTAGTTCAGATGGGGAAGGTAGGTGAGTAGCATTATCATCTATGGGTCTTTGCTCAAATAGAAGATTTGGTTAGACTTCTATATAGGGTCAAGGAAATGCCCTTACTTTTTTGTTAGAATTAATATAGTTCTTTCAATCACCCAGGTTTAAAACTTAGCCTTTAAAGTCCTTATCTCTTACTCATTTTCAGGTCTTATAATCGTTGAATCTAGGACACCATCAGATTTAAGATACACAGTGATTTTTACCTGTTGTTAAGAAAGGAGAAATACTGCCAGTTGAGACATATAATTAACTGAAAGATATATTCCAACTTCAAAGATATAAAATTTATTTAATAAAATATGCCAAGTACCACATCTATTTTCTTATAGCTTCCAGTGCCACGGCCCTGAGTCGGGCTCTCATTTTCCTTGTGGGTGTCCCACTGGTCTGCTCACCTAGTGTATCCTGGTTACAAGGTGGCAAATGTTCTGCCACCAGGTTTATGTAGAATCACTGAGCACCCTCGTCAGTATAGGGTCCTACTTGCCCATGGAATAAAGTCAGGATTCCTTAGCTCAGCCCTCAGGCCCTCCGTGTTTATATTTCCTAACTAACTTTTTAGGTGACTCTTCAATTCCCTTATTCAAACTTGATGTATCAATAAAGACACTCCAGTTGCTGCCCTCCAGTTTCTGGCCTGGGAGTCGAATGTTAGGACTCTTCTCCTCCCTTGCCTGCCTCTGGATGTAAGCTGTTTCTGGCTCAAGTGCTGCCACCTTCACAAAGTCTAACACAGCCACAAATGATAGCACCCATCTCTGAATGTTTATATAATATAGACAGTGCTTAAAAATAGGCAGGGTCAGGGGCATAATGGAGGACTGGCCTTGAACAGGGAGAGAGGGAGAAAACTTTTTTGAGACTAGAGGAGAGGGAGTGGGGAAAAGTATGAATATATATAAGTTTATAGTGGAAGAAATACCTGTTGACTTAATTTTCTTCTATGAAGTGGGAAGCATATAGTCTTCCAGAACAGTGAATAAACTTTCTGAGCACCTTATTACATGGCATAACATAGTGGTTAAAGCTCACACTCTAGTGTCAAACAGCCTGGGTTCAAATCCTGGCTTTCATACATTTCAGCTGTGTGAACTTGGGCAAATCACTCAACTTCCCTGAGCCTAGGCCCTTCATCTGTAAAACAGGGATTTACAGGAGTGCTGTGTGGATTAAATGTGTCAGTGTGTACAAATCCTGTGGAACAATGCCAGGGCACTCAGTGCCAGAACCTGAGCGTAAAAATGTAAGACACAGCCCTCAAGAAGCTTTCAATCACGTAAGCTGGTTGTCTAACTCCTTTTCTGTGAAGTGATACCATCCACTCCCTGTTACCTCCATTGAAGACAACTAGGTAAATGTTTCCAAATGATACTGAATTTTTAAAAAAATCTATATATTTTTAAAATTCAAATTCTACAGTAAGACAGTGATACAGTCAGAGAGAGATGAGTGTCTATACAGTTGGGAGATAACAGCTTAGGCAAATGCCTAAAGCAGCTCCCAAGGGAAGAAAGGACAGGCACTCAAGTGAGAATACAGTAGCAGGGAAGCAGCAGCTTTCCTTAGTAGAATCAGCTAAGCTTATTATCATCTGAACTTGATCAGAGGTTCTCAAAGTGTAGTCCCTACATCAGCATCATTTGGGTACTGGTTAGAAATATAAATCCTGGGGCCCTACCCCAGACCTACTGAACTGGAAACTCTGGCATTATCTAGAAGCGACCTGGTTCCAAGAGGCAGCCAACCTAAAATGTGTATGATGAATGTGTGTGATTTCAAGTCAACACATATGATAGTGTATGATGTGCTTACAGGAAGGAGGCAGGATGGAGAGCAAGAATCTGGTACTAATTACACTATATCTGGCCTTGCACACCAAGTTTACAAATAAAAAAGAATTTTTTCTCCAATGGAGCAAGCTTGTGTTGCTAGACCTAGAATAGGCAGGAAGTCCTTGAAAAGAATCTATGCTTTGGTGAGTTTCTTACATGTGAAAAACATCTGATTATGAACAAACTGCTTCCATTGTGCTAATCTGACAATTTTGTGATCCAGGCTGACTTGTCTCAAGGTTACTGATTCAGAAAGGCTTAGACTTGTCCAAGATCAAAGTCAGTGCCAGGACTGGGGTTGAAAACCAGATCTTTCGTCAGTCCAGTTTTCTCTTAACCTCTTATAGCTGGTTACTCATTTGATTTTCAGCCATGTAGATACTAATTGAGAGTGGTTTGAAAAGGGGTCATGAGTAGTTCGAGCGCTAGGAAGAGCTGTATGTTCCATTTTAAATTGGTTAAATGACATTCCAGATTATAAATCAGCCTCCTGTGACTGTAAGCTGTGTGACTCTGTACCCTAGGGATCAATTATCAGTGGAGGAGCTAACAAAATTCAGCTTGTGAACGTGTACTGCTGAGGATCAGCACCTAGGTCATTGCTTCCCACGGGGCTGGCAGAATGCAGAGGGCTCCCCCACGGGGGCATATTACAGTCACCTTTTATTGTTGTTTAATCAACGTATCTTCCCCACAGATTCTGAGATGCCACCCTAGGGGTGTGCACTGCTTCCTGGTTGAGAACTGTGGCAGTAGTGAACCACTGTTGCTGACAAGGTGTTAGTGTGGAAAAATGGCTGAAAACCACTCGACTACCTTGGCCTCACAAGTTTTAGTCATTCTCTGAGGTCAGGTCAACACAGCCCCAGCTTCTACTCTACCTTGAGATCCAGATATGGAAGGTCTTAAATGCTGGCCTATGCCTAAGTTTTAGCTTTGGGGGCTTTTCAAGGGCCAAAAAAGTGGCACCCAAGTTCTGAACCTAGGTTTTTGAGAAATAAGATAAAAAACAGATGAAGAAAAAAAATATCATTTTTACTATCAATAGGTTAGACAATAGAGCTTTATGTGACCCCTGAATGGGCTTGCTACTTTCCTGTCTGAAGGGAAAGCAGATACCAAAGTTTCTGCTTCTGGTCAAGGGAAGAAGTAAAGAGAGAATAATAAATCCCCCACATTCAATCTGTCAAACTTTGATTAGTTCCACCCAAATGAGAAACATGGACCAAAAGCAATCATCCACCAACTAGGCTATTCATTCAACCTGCATGAGGAAGAGCAAGGGGTGGAACAGCAGACTCCATATGAACATTATGTTTATTAAACTCACTCTATAAAGAGAGAAGTGGGGAAAAGGCATTCCACCTTCTGTCCAACACTGGATGTAAGGAATTCTGAAGAACTAATGAGTCTCTGACAACAGGTTCAAGATGGATTTGCTTGGAATGGGGAGGAAAGTTGGGACATTAGTAAGGACGATGTATGAAATTAGGCACAAGACTGATGATGTGGTGGCAAAAGGAAAACTGAGCCATAAGAAATATGGTGTTACTTCCTTATGGTACAAATGGAAAGAGCAAGGCAGGTGACAATCCCAGAAGATTTGAGATTAAAGCTGAACACTGCTACTTAATGGCTGTGCAATTTGGCCTCTGTTTCCTGATCTGTGAAAAATTCCTAATGGGAATTAAACAATCAATTCAAATTTAAGGACCAATTTAAACAATACCCCACAAAAGCACTCTCTATCACCGCACAATTTAGTGTGCAATTTAATACAATCATTATAATCAATGTTTTTTTTTCCTCATTTTATTGCATTATGGAGATGTCAGATCAAGACCTTGCACTGTGCTAGGACCTGTAGTACAATAATAGCAGTGTGCATAGGTATCTCTGACTTGATATCATTGACTATAAAGGGAAAGCTTTTAAACTTTCACTGTTAGGTATTTTGAGTTGTTGAAAGTTTCAGCAGATCCTTTGTTTAGATTAAGGATGCTCCTTTCTGCCACTGCTAGGCCAAATTTAAAAAAAAAATTCATATATATGTGTGTTTAAAAAAAAAATCAACCACTTTTTTTTTCACTTACTGAGATGATCACTTTTTTTTTTTTTCATTGTTACCATGGTGAATTGCAGTGCAAGATTTCAAATACTGAACCATCTCTGTCCTTGGAATAAACCCTACTTTGGCATGATGATTTAGTATGAGGGAGATGGCCTAGTTAAGACACCTGGGTTCCAGTTATCTTTCCGTCTCATGGCTTTAAAAACTAATCATATGATGACTTCCAAATTTGTATCTTCAGCTACTCCCCTAAATTTCAGCCCCCTCTATAACCGATAGGTTTGACAGCTCCTCTGGGATGTCTAATAGGAATCTCAAACTTATCATGATAGAAAATAAACTTGCCTTTTTTCCCCCATCCCTGTTAATGGAAATTCCATCCTTCCAGTTGCTCAGGCCAGAAACCCTGGAGTTGTTTTTGATTTTTCTGTCATTTCACATCTGATATGTTGGCAAATACTGTTGTCTCTATTTTCACAATACATCCAGAACCTGACCACTTCTCACAATTTCCACTGCTACGATTCATCTTAGCAGATGGAGAAAATGGTCCAAGCCATCTTCTCTCACCTGTACTATTGCAGTAGGCTCCTACAGGTCTACCTGCTGCATTTGCCTTCACCACAACTATTCTCAACACAAAATCCCGAGTGATCCTTCCAAGACCCAAGTAAGATCATGTCATTCCCCTGCTTACGATCCTCCAATGGCTGGTCATCTCAGAGTAAA